GATAACTTAAACACTTCTGACAGCAGCCTCCCCATCAGCTGGGGTCCCCGCCCAGCGCCCGGCCGGCCCGTGATGGACGTGTAGTGGGAGTGACAAACCGAGCTCTCTTGAAAGCCTCTGCCTGGCGGAGGGCGCGAGTCAGTGTCCAGGGAGGTTGGTCTGGCTTGCTGTCGGGAAGGAGAGCTGACAAGCTCACAGCGTGGGTTGTGAGCAGATGATTTGCAGAGCACGGGCAAGCCCTCCCGGCCGGGAGTGTCTCCCTGCCGCCCGCTGAGCCAGGCGGCCCCAGTGCACACGTCCGCTGCTGTCACAGTCAGCCTTCCATCACCGTGACTACGCCCCGAGGCAGCCTCCGGCAGCAGGAAGCTGGCTTATTTGGGATCCCCTTTGCAGGACTGGGCAGGCCCTCTGGGTTCAGCCCCTGGCGATGGCGTCCTTGCTGGCAGAGCGGGAGTGCATTTCTACCTGGCTCTCTCCTTACAAAGACGAGGGGCACGGCAGCTCCCCGCTAATGGCCGTCTCTCCCTTACCCAAGGCCCCGCCTGCAGACATCGGAGTGGGGTGAAGTCTCCATTTTCGTGGCTCCCTCCGCATCAGACGCTGGGGCTCACATTTCTGCATAAGTCGGGGCCAGGTCGCCTGCAGACTCCAGCGACCTGGGAACCTCGCTGCTCTGTCTGGGATTCAGGGAGGGGGAACTCCTCATGGCAGCCCTTTCTGTTTCCAAGTGTGCGTGTGTTGTGTTGTGTTGTGTTGTGGGGTTACTGACATGTAGTGAGGGTACAGTTCGATCGGTTCTGACCGACTGATATGTAAGGACATATGTTAAGTGTACACTTACCTTTTTAAGAAACTTCCAGAGGCTGGTGTTGTGGCAAACTGGGATAAGCCACGGCAGGCATCCCATATGGGCGCTGGTTCGAGTCCCAGCTGCTCCACTTCCCATCCAGCTCTCTGCTGTGGCCTGGGAAAGCAGTGGAGGATGGTCCAAGTGCTTGGGCCCCTGCACCTGCGTGGGAGACCCGGAAGAAGCTCATTGCTCCTAGCTTCAGATTGGCCCAGCTCTGGCTGTTGTAGCCATTTGGGGAGTGAACCAGCCGTGAATAGAAGATTCTGTGTGTGTGTGTGTGTGTGTCCCCCTTTGTCTCTGTAACTTTGCCTTTCAAATGAATAAATTAAAAAAAAAAAAAAGAAAAAGAAACTCGGTTTTCCCAAGTGACAGTACCAATTTACGCTCTTGCCGGAACTGCATGCGAAGCCCCGTTGCCCCGCGTCCTCTTCAGCCCTTGGAGCTGTCCGTCTGTTTCATTTTAGCCACTGTAGCGGGTGCGGGTGGCGTCCCACGCGGGCTCTCCTAGATCTGCTACACACGACTAACGCACTGGCCGCCTTCTCTGTTCCCATTGGTCATTCCGACCTCCTGTTTTGGTGCCTAACTGCTTCCCAAGGCCCACAAGATGGGCGACTGGATTGGGATGGGATGACCAGGGCGCTCAACACTTTGGCGACACAGCAGGCTTGGCGAGAGCGGTTAAGCAGGAAGGGGCCTTCCCAGTCTTCTTCAAGGGCCTCTGTAATTAGGGCCAGCGCCTCCAGGATCCTTCCTCCCAGGGCCTCTGAGACCCAATTAGAGAGGATGAGGGGGAGTGGCAACCAAGTGCCCATCAACCCCCCCCCCCCCCACACACACACACTGAGTCAGCGCTGCCCTTGTCGGGCCCTAGGAGGCTGCCCATGAGATGCGTGGCCCATGTGGTGACCCCTAAAACGGGCCGAGGCCCCAAACAACAGCCAGTCACATCCAGAGTGTCTCGGAACCCGTCCAATGGCACGAGGAAGCAAAGGAGCTCCGACTTCTGCCCTTGGCCGCTGGGGGACCCTTGAGCGCCCGGCAGGGCCTGCTCTCTGAGGGTCTGTTCACCGGGAGGCCTGGGGCGGCTCCAGCTGGTCCCTACACAGTGACTTCCGGTGGGGGCGCTGACCACCGCGGAGCTACGGACAAGTTAGCCACGGAGGTCGTCATTAGTGACTGAGCCCCGGTGCATCCTCCTGGCTGGGTGGCGCGATCATCGCCCGCCCCGGAGAGAGTGACACCGCCCACGGCTCCACCCGCAGAGGCCAGCAGGTGCTCGGAGCTCTGAGAAGGGCTGCACTTGCCCCTAAATGCATCTTTCCTTGGCCTTTCCTTCTTAACTGTGTCCCTTCTGCTGTAACTGGTCATTCCGTGACTTCAGACTGCACCCCCAGTCTCAGGAGTTCAGTGCCCCAAGCCCATGCTAAGGGCGCTTACTCCTACCCCGACGTCTGTGGGCGGGGCCTCGAGGGGGATTAGATGGGATTCCGTGCTAGCATGGGTGAATCCGGGGGCTTTGCAAGGAGAGACGCTGCCAGGTGATGCTCTGGGCTATCTCAGGACCCTGCCAGCAAGAACTCCTTCAGCAGGGGCTGAACCACCCTCTAGAAACTTAGGCTGCCTGAGCTGCTTCATTATGGGGAGAAAAAACTGACGCCCTGCTGGCGGGGAAGCCCCCTACCACGCCCCGCCCCACGGCTGAGGACCCCTTTGCGCTGGCTCGGCCCATGGCCAGCAGTTCAGCGGCCAGCCGGGAGGCCACTTCATCTGCTCCATTGCTTTTCTCGGGATTCACCTTTATGGATATCTTCTATTTATGTCAAGCGGTATTGATCTTCCGATTCATGAGTGTACCTTTTAAAATAAATTTTAGTTAAAAGGGGAGTTGATCTTTGTAAATAGTGACCAGCGGCGTTGGGGGGGGGGGCGGGGGAGGATGTGTGGCTCACGGTGGATAGAGGGTGTGAGGCCGTCTGGGAAGTGCTGTGCTAACACCCCGTTCTCCTCCTGTGCGGCCGCCTGGCCAGGAGCCAAACACGCTTAGCCCAAGAAGCCATGTTTCTGCCTCCCCCCAACTGCTCTGTCCCCTCACCCCAGGGCTTTTGACTTTTTTTAAAAATGTATCATGAGGCTGGTGCCGTGGCTCACTAGGCTAATCCTCCGCCTAGCGGCACCGGCACACCAGGTCCTAGTCCCGGTCGGGGCGTCGGATTCTGTCCTGGTTACCCCTCTTCCAGGCCAGCTCTCTGCTGTGGCCAGGGAGTGCAGTGGAGGATGGCCCAGGTGCTTGGGCCCTGCACCCCATGGGAGACCAGCAGAAGCACCTGGCTCCTGCCATCGGATCAGCGCGGTGCGCCGGCCGCAGCGGCCATTGGAGGGTGAACCAACGGCAAAGGAAGACCTTTCTCTCTGTCTCTCTCACTGTCCACTCTGCTTGTCAAAAAAAAAAAAATGTATCATGAAATACATTTTACATCATCACCATATGCATAGCATTAGGTGGGCCGGTAGGAAATTGCTACTTTTGTACATCAAAAGTCCTGAGCAGTGACTTTTCGAAACATTCAACTCTGTAGCTATAATAATTCTCTACATATGACTGTGCATGTGCATGTGATAAACTGACAAATGACGATCCCTCCTGATTGTTTGGGGGTGTCCTGGTGAGTAGGTGGTGGGCGCCAATAGGGAAACGTTTTTACATCCTCCGTACTACATGTGCAGGCTTTCTTCGGTCTCCGTGGGTGAGGGGTTCCAAGCCCCAGTATCCCCGGATGCTCAGGTCCCTTTCTACGAGGCTGTGATGTTTGCCAATGCCCTACAGACACCCTCCTGCAACTTTAAATCACCTCTAGATTATCTACAATATCCTTTTAAGGATTTATTTATTTATTTGAAGTCAGAGTTACAGAGAGAGAGAGGGAGAGACAAAGAGAGAGAAGTCTTCCACCTGCTGGTTCACTCCCCCAGATGGCCTCAATGGTCAGTCAGGAGCCAGGAGCTTCTTCTGGGTCCCCCGCATGGGTAGCAGGGGCCCAAACACTTGGACTTTCTTCTGCTGCTTTTCCCAAGCCACTAGCAGGGAGCTGGATTGGGAAGTGGAGCAGCAGGGACTCGAACTGGTGGCACATGGGATGCTGGAGTCGCAGGTGGTGGTTTAGCCCACTATGCCACAGCGCCAACCCCACCTACAGTATCTAACACAATGCCAGTGCTATGTAAAAGCTGTTATAATGTGTTGTTTAGAAAAGGAATGAGAAAGACCCCCCAAAAAAATCCATACAAGAAAACAAAGGTTGTACAGCTGCAAACCTTTGAATATTTTTGACCCGAGGCTGGCTGAATCCCCGGATGTGGCACCTGGGAGCTACGCATACACTGAGTACCATATAATCATATTATTCCTCCATATCACATCTGACGTCTGTGATCCACTCACATCTTCCTTTCTACACAGCCACTTCTTTTTCTTTTTTTTTTTTCTTTTTGCGTCCTGCTCGGGGCTGAGACCTAAGTGTGCGAGCAAGCTCTCATCTCTTCACTTTGGCTCCGTGGGTCCACAGACCTGGCCAGGGGCGTCTGCCTCAGCTCCGGGCTGCCTGATGCAGTGGAGCGAGCCCCCCACCCCACCCCACCCCGCCAAGGGCCTTGGGGAAGGGTCCACTGGAGCCCACTGGAGCCCATGGCACCCTCCACTGGGTGGGGGATGAACACCCACCCACACTGCCCCGGGCCCACCCCAGGGCTTGCGCGGCTTCCTGTTGGGTAGACAAGGTCCTGGGCTAAGCAGTGATGGTGGTGGTAGGGGGGCTGCAGCTTGGATGTGCTGGCCAGTGACGTTCTCACCGTGTGTGCTAAGGGAGCCGTGGCCTGGTGGGGAGGGGACCCTGGGGGCTGGGGGCTCCCCCCACATGTATGTTAGGGGTACCTGGCTTCAGAGACCATGACCATGACCATGACCATGACCATGACCATGTACACGGACCCCGCAGCCTCCAGCTGCCCAGCCCTGCTGCTCTCATGGAACAAACTCACCCATGGCCACCCCCTTCCCCCTCCCTCCTGCGTCCTTCCCCAAGCCCTGGTCCCAGCGCAGCCCCAGCCTCTTTCTTCCACTCCCCCGTCACAGCACACAGAGACCACTGGGCAAGATCCACAGTGTTTACTTTTAGTCTGAGCAGAGTGGACACCTTGGGGAGTGGGGCAGCATTGGGAGGGCGGGGCACTGGGTCGCCAGCCCCTCCGGCCCCGTCCATCATTGCCTGTCCTCTCAGGCTGGGCTTCCTAACCGACCTCCAGGGCAGGGTGCGTGGTGGGGGGCTCGGTCTCGGGGTGCCCGTCCTGTCGTCAAGCCCCGTCCTGATGAGCTCACCTGGGGCGGTTCCGGCATAACCGGGACAACTGCCGGCACTTGCCACCTGCAGGCGAAGGAAATGGTTGGATGGTGAGTGCGAAGCACATGGCTGCTGTGTGTGCGCTGGGTGCTGGGGACAGGGCACAAGACATGCACATGAGCACAGGGCAAGGAGCACCCATAGGCACAGAGGAGCCCTCTGAAGGCTCCAGCAGGCAGGACGCTGTAACTGCAGACCTACTGTGTGCCAGCACGGGGCTGGGCCCTGGGAACACACCAGAACACAAAGGCTGACCTTCCGGCGGGAGAGACAACAGTAAGAGCAGGACAGAGCAAGTCAGGTGGGGGCCAGTGCGAGGAAGAAAAACACAGGCAGGAAGGAGGCAGGGGCCCCTGGGGGACCTCACTGCAGAGGGGACGTTTGGGCGAACATCTGCAGGAGGGGAGGGAAGCCACGCGGGCATCTGGAGGAAGGGTGTTACAGGCAGAGGGAACAGCCAGTGTAAAGGCAGGAGGACACAGATGGACTCAAGGGACAGCCGGGAGGCCAAGGGCCAGCCCAGAGTGAATGAGGGGGCAGTGCAGAAGCCAAAAGGGACAGGAAAGCAGCAATCCACGGCCTCCTGACTGTATCCGTGCCTGCCACCCGCTTTCGCCTCTCCGGCCCGCTCTGCTCCTCTCCCCTGGCTTACTCTGCCCTAGCCCCCGGGTCTCCTCCTCCTGTTGTTGCAACTTGCGCACCTCACTCCTGCCTCAGGGCCTTTGCACTTGCTGCTCCTGCCGCCCAGGTTTTTTGCTGTTGTTTTGTTTTCCTAGTCATCTCATCATCAGGAGCAGCTCTGATTTCACCTTTCAGAACGCACGCCTCCCCTGGCCCCTCTGTCTTGTCACTGCTTTATCTGGCAAATATCCTCCCCTGGGTCTGCTCTGCTCGGGCACACAGTGACTGAACTGTGTGGCCCCAGCTTCCCCCAGCTCAGACTGGGCACAGCGTGGGTGCTCACAGGTGTCTGTCATTGGAACAAGGCATGGCCCCAGAGCCCTCATTCAGGCTCTGTTCCCACGGGGCTGGGTCTAGTCCTCCCCTGAGCTGTGTGGTGCAGCCTCGGGTGAGCTCCTCAACCCTCTCTGATCCCAATCTCCCCAGGGAAGACAGAAGACGAGCTGGCATGGACATGTTAATCCAGGGAGGCTACAGAGCTGGACCCCAGGTCCGGCGAGGATCAGGCCCCCAGGAGCGATCTTGCCTACACGTCGAAACTGCACACTCGAGAGCTAAAGCAAAGGCCACAGCATGCTGAGGGGTGGTCTGCAGGCATATATAGCCAACAGAGACCTCATTTAAAACAACCCTGCCTGGGGACCCTTGAGAACCTGACCCTCCGCCCTAGCATAAGCCGGGACCTCCCCTCCCGCTGTCAGTGCCCTTTCTGCTCGGCCCCCATTCTCACTGGTGAGGATGACAATGCCGGTGATGAACAGCACGGCTGCAACCAGGAGCCCCCGCTTCCGGAGAGTGGCCTCGTCTGCAGAGGGGAGAGGGGAAGGGTGCAGTCAGAGGGGCCTTTCTCCCTTCTTCCCCCACACCTTCTTGTGGGTAACTCACCATAGTAGAAGGGGTCGTCCTCACTCGAACCTACAGGGTGTGACAGATGAGGACAAGTCAGAGTTCCGCAAAGGTTTGTGGAGTGAACAAGTGAATGGCAGAAACAGGGTCTCAGCCTTGGTGCCCTTAGAACAAAACCCGAAGCCCCCACTGACTGTCTCCCACCACTCTCTGACCTCATCTCCTCCTCCCTTACTCCCAGCACTCCAGCCCCCACTGGACTCCCTGCTGCTGACCATGCCAGATACCTTCTCAGCTAAGGGCCTTTGCACTGGCTGCTCTCGCTGCCTGGAGCGCCCACTCCTTGGACACCATCCACATGGCTCCCTCCAACACTTCCTCCTCAGTGAGCCCTTCGCTGTTCCTTTGTCTGAAATGCTCCCGTCACCTGCTTTATTCTTCATAGCAGGTTCAAAACACCTACTATGCAGTTATAGGTAATTATTACATAATGAATATGTAATTATTACTCACTGTCTCCCCTCCCCCACTAGAATGTCGGTTCCATAAGGGCAGCCATATCCCTTGCACCTGGCACACAGGAGGCGCTCAGTGAATGTTTGTTGAATGAACTGACGAATGGGCTCTCACTTCCATTCATTCATTTGGGGTCCACTGGAAGTGGAGTACATGATCACAAGGGACCCACAAGCGACCTCAGGTGCATGAGTAAGGTCCAGGCTGTGACCAGAAGAACCAGCCAGCTGAGCCCAGCCTACATTTCCAAATTGCAGATTTGAGAGCTAACCCAATGGTTACCATGGAGTTTTGAGGTGGTACGCGGGCACCAGTCCTTCATCCATCTATGTGCAGACATAACCAGGTGCCCACTCCCTGCCAAGCTACGAGCTGAGCTGCTGATCCACCCAGCACAGCTTCCTGAGGACCATCCCAAGCTGGGCTGTACTCCAGCTGCTGGAAACACTCAGCAAAGAGGAAACAGCCCGTTTCCAGTCTGGGAAGGAAGTTACTGACCAGGTGGCTTTGGGGTCTGAGGGTCCATCATCCTGACGTCCTTCCTTGGGGACCATTTCTCGGAGCGTGTCGTGGTGCCTTCGATGGAGGGCAGGGGGCAGAGAGAGTGGCCAGAAGATGGTGGAAAGCAGAGTGAGCCATGGATGCAGAAAAGAAGGGGGGAGTGGGGCATTACTGGAAGTCTGGAACTGGGACCCCCTCTCCCACATCCATACAACCAGAGTGCAGTCTTGGGCATCCCCCTGGTCCCACCCAGCCCTGGAAGCCACAAGCAATAGCAGGTACTGAACCCTGAAGCAAACCTGCACCTCCTGGTTCAGTCCAGCCTCCGCAACCCCCAAGGCATGCCTGCCCCCTCTCCTAGGGCCTCCTGGACCGCCCTGTTCCCCAGAAGCTAAATGCTAACGCCAGGCAGGAGGATTTCTGGGACTCTTGCCCAGCTATGCTACCTGCAGGTACTTCCTGTAAAACACTGACCATCGGCTCTGCCCCCGAACAAAAATACCAGAGGGGGGGGCATAAAAATAACCCCTCCCCCATCACCTCCACCCCTCTGCTTCCCCGTCGGAGGCAGGAGGAGAAGCTGCCTCTTGAACCCTGAATTCCTTGGGCCCGGCCATGAAGGAAGAACTGGCAACCAAGGATTTTGGACATCAGTGGACCGTCAGAAGCACAGCAGGGGTCAGAGGTGCTGAGATCACAGACAATGCAAAGGCCAGTGGCCTGCTGGGCAGTCTGGATGCAGCCCTCGTGCCCACTGTGGTGGAGTTAGGAGATGGAGGCCCTGGGCGGAGTTTAGGGTTAGATGAGGCCCTGAAGGTAGAGTCCGTGGTGAGGGCAGTGTCCTTTGTAGGAGGAGCCTGCAGAGCTGGCTTCCAATCGCTGCACCTGCACAGGCAGGGAGAGGCCATGCAGGACCGAGCGAGAAGGCAGCCGTCTGCAACCCAAGGGAGGAGCCCTGCCCAGACGCCAAGCCTGCCAGCGCCTCCGCCTTTGACTGCGCGTCTCCAGAACCAAGAGAAATCAACTCCCACTGTTCAAGCCGCACAGCCTGTGGCGTTCTGGGCAGACCAGGGGAAGCTGGGAAGCACGTAGCCAGGTGGCCACTAGGTGCGGGAGGCAGGGAGCCCCTGGGGCTGGCACACAGGGCGCTGGGCTGCCTTGAGGGTCAGCAGTGTCTGACTCCAGGACGCCCTTGGCCCTGTGGAATTTCTGCCGTGTCCAGCCAGGGATGCGGACGCAGGGGGACTGCAGTCAGCAACGTGCAGACGTGCAGACGTGAAAAAGTTTTCTCAGTTGGGAAGCGTGGACATGGCCGCTATCCCCCACTCGCCACAGGGGCACCACCGTGCAGATCAGAAAAGCTCCTCTCCCCGACACTTGGTTCCAATCGTGATAAAACTGATCTGATGGATTCCGCAAGAGATGCTCTAGGGCCACCACTGGGAAGCTGGGAAGATTATAAAGACCAGCAAGCTGCCGCCTGCGGCGCCGGCATCCCATATGGGTGCTGGTTCAAGTCCCGGCTGTTCCTCTTCCCATCCAGCTCTCTGTTATGGCCTGGGAAAGCAGTGGAAAATGGCCCAAGTGCTTGGGCTCCTGCACCCACGTGGGAGACCTGGAAGAAGCTCCTGGCTCCTGGCTTCAGATCCGCCCAGCTCTGGCTGTTAAGGCCAATTGGGGAGTGAACCATCAGATGGAAGACCTCTCTCTCTTTCTGCCTCTGCCTCTCTGTAACTCTGCCTTCAAAAACAAACAAACAAACAACAACAACAACAACAACAAAAAACCTGTTCTGCGCTTGCTTAACTAATAAGAAGAAAATCAGCAACGGGCTGGCGCTGTAGTGCAGTGGGTTAATGCCCTGGCCTGAAGCACCGACATCCCAAATGGGCACTGGTTTGAGACTCGGCTGTTCCACTTCCGGTCCAGCTCTCTCCTATGGCCTGGGAAAGCAGCAGAAGATATCCCAAGTGCATGGGCCCCTGCGCCCACGTGGGAGACCTGGAAGAAGCTCCTGGCTCCTGGCTTAGGATCAGCACAGCTCCAGCCATTGCGGCCATCTGGGGAGTGAACCAGCGGATGGAAGACCTCTCTCTCTGTAACTCTGCCTTTCAAAAAAATAAAATAAATCTTTAAAAAAATAAAAAATTTTTTTAAAAAAGAAAATCTGCAAGGGGAATGGCATGGCCTGAGAGTTGGAGTTCAAATGCTCTAATGCAGTGCCCAGCCTGCACAACTGGCCATGCCTCTCACCCTGCTTAGTACTTTCCAGTGGGGCCAGCCCCCCCCAGACATCAGTTCAGCCCTGTTTCCCACTCCTTCAGTAGCCTTAGGTCACCTGTCCAGAGGAGACAACTCCACGGAACACAGGACTCCCGGTCTGCGTGGCCCAGGCAGGGCTGACCCTTTCTTCCAGCCCCAGGGTGGAGCACAAGACTCAGGCTTGGCCAATCAGAGCAGTCCAGATTCGGACATGCGACCCCCAGATGGGCCTTGGGCTAGCATGCATGGGAGTGACGCGTTCTCTGGTGGCTGAGTTGGGACCTATATTTCGAACTACAGGACAAGTCCCGAGATGAAGAAACACGGTCCCCTAAATGCCACTGGCCACGCACCAAGAAAACAGTTTTAAATGCCTGAGCAAATCCCCCAGTGGGAGCCCTTGGGGAAGTGCTGAGCCCGACAGGGAAGAAAGCAAAGGTGGGGGCTGCTGTTCTCGGCCCAACTCTACCTTCCTGGTCCCGGGCGTGCGCCCCCGGATCCGTCACCGCCAGTGCACCTGCTGCGGTCGGGTGCCGGGTGTGCGTCTCCACGTGGCTTGCTGTCGTGTCTACTCCGTTCAGGGAGAAGAGCAGTGGGGAGGAGAAGACACATGTAAATCAGGCACGGGCAGACCCGCAGCACAGCAGAGGCCGTGTCCCCCTGCAGGTGGCCAGAATCAGAGCTGTCCACACAGCCCGCACTGCTGGTGGGCGGGCCAGCCGGTGCCGTCCCTTGAGAAAACAACTTTTAAGACAAATCTAAACACCCTCGTCCTTCACCCCATAGTGTACTGGCTAAGAAGCCCTGGCTCTGGCGCTAGGTCCCTGGGTTCCGCCTCCAGCCGCGCGTGACTTGCTAAGGGACCTTGGGCCTCGGCTTCCTTATCTGTAAAATGGGACAATGACAGTTTCCACCGCACGCTGCTGCGCAAGGACTGAATGAAAAAATGAACGCAAGGGAATGTTTACGTCGGAGACCAAGGGAATGTTTACGTCGGAGACCCGCATATCGCCCGTGCGCTGAGTGGTTGTTCGAAGAGACAGGGGCACTGCCTAAAGCAGGGCCAGCTGGGAGCCATCAGTAAGCCCAGCAAGAGGGGGGCGACTCTGGACCCCGCCGGGGTATGGCCTCCAGGTGAACACACGCAGGATGCAGTCCCGCCGCGGAGGGGCGCGAGGGAGGCAGGGCAGGCGGACACGCAGGGTGAGGACTGTCTCCTAGGAGGAGCCGTGTCCATTAAACATCGCTTGGGAAAACACTGCGGAGCGCTTTTTGGATTCCATTAAGCCTCAAGGAAAAAGCTGCAGAATTACTGGAAAGTTCGAAAAGATGACAAGCAATAGAGATGGAAGTGACACAAGGACTGGGGTGGGCAAACGCTGATCCTTGGCCGGCTGGCGGTGCCCCAGGGGTGCAAGCTGGAGGAGGCCGCCGACGCTGCCCCTTCCTGGGTTTCGAACTTGCCTGTGTGTATCTCACGGTCAAGGCTGCTTTGGTTTGGGTCAGTGAGTCCGAAGCTTGGAGTAGGCGGGACTGAAATGGGAGGAGAAAGACCCGGCGAGTGGGAGGGGCAGTGTCCAAGCGCCCCTGGCGGCCCCGCCCCCTGCGCCCCACGCCCCGCCCACTCACCGTGGGCAGGGTCCACGGAGGTCTGAGGGGTGGACTGGAGTTCCGGGTGGTCTGTGTTTGGGAGAGAAAAAGAGACAGAGACGACGTGGAGAAGGTCCATGGTCCCCAGGGGGTCCCACAGCGAGGCCACTTAAAATACAGGTATGTACATTAAAACACAGGTATGTGTTCCTGAGAGAGGAGCAGAGCCCCTGGGGGCTGGCTCACTCCCCTGTCCTCACAAAGGTTGGGCTGAGTGACCGGGGCGGAGCCAGGTCGAAGCCCAGGCCCCCTGTGTCCGGCCGCAGGGACCCAGCCCCTCGCTCTATCACCAACCCCTCGCTCTATAACGGCTGCCTCCCAGACTCTGGCATGAGCAGGAAGCTGGATCAAAAGCCAGAGACAGAGATGGAAGCCAGACCCTCCCTCGTGGGCTGCAGGCACCTCCGTCCAGCTTTGATGGAGCGGAAATGATGTCATCCATCCCGCCCCTTATCCGTGAGCTGCCCAGGGGTGGAGCCAGGGTCGCCCCTGCCTCAGCACCCAGCACCTGACCAGAGCTCCTCCTTGGGTGCACTTGCAAATCAGCTTTCTCAAGGCTCTGGGCTTACTACATCCCCGCCCCCTGGGCCCTGATAAGCCCAGCAAAACCATCCCTCTCCCAGGCCACTGCCCCGCTTGGTTCAGTGGGGCTGGCCCCTGATCTCCTTGGACAAGTGTGGGGGCCAGGCCTGGCCACAACCAGCTTTCTGGGCCTGTAGCCACAACCATCAGCTCCTGGGTGGGCACGTGGCCTGAGTCACAGTGACTCCGTTCCACATTTGCTGGATTGGGGAAGGGGAAGTTCCCCTGCCTCTGGAACTGGGGGCCATCCATCCGAGGAGAGAAAACAGAACCAAGAGGAGACAGGTCCGGGATGGCATCATTTGAGCACCCGGATCGAGCCACACCTGAAGGCCTACCCCTGGGCTTTTTAGTGACACAAAAGCATACATTGCCCTGTTTGTGTTGCCGTTGTTATTTGCAATGGTCTTGATGGCTCTGTCCCCTCTCCTCACCTGAGACCTGTGTGAGGACTTCAGTGCTTCCAGTTGCTGCGTCCACTGGAGAAGCATATGTGGTCTCCTCCAACTTCTGACCTGGAGAGTGAAGAGGGAGAGGTCAGGAGGGCGTGTCGGCCCCCTCTCCCCAGTACTCCCATCCAGTCCTTCCTTCTGAACCCTTGGGACTGTCTGCTGGTGGCACCACGCAGCGTGGACTGCATGACTCCATGAACTTGGAGTTGTCAGAACCTCTCCTCCGGCTCCCCACCCATCCGCGTGGCAAGGGAGAGGCATTTAGTCTGGCGATCCCGGGTACGAGGGTCAGCCAGGGCCCTGGTTTCAAATTCAGCTCCCAACAACCTCCCTGCTGTGGGACCTGGAGCCAGCAGAGTCCTGGCGCCGAGCCTGGGTGGCCTCCTCTGTGGGTGGGATGGTAGGGAGAACAACACCTCCCGGCTCCGATACGATGAGATGAGATGCGGCACGGAGAGGGGCCGCCCCACTGCCTCCCACGTGCTTGGCATTGATCCACCCACTGCCCTCACCCAGCCCAGTCTCCAGCCTCCCCTTGCTCCCCCCCCCCCGCAGTCAGAGGGCACCTGCGAATGCCCAGACCACGCCCTCCTGGCTCAAGTCCTGCCCTGACCGCACCTTGCTCCAGGTAACAGCTGAAGCCCCCCTCCCAGGCCTGGGAAGTCCCCTTCCATCCGGTCCCGCATTGCCACTCTGCCCCTTGCTCGCCCCAGCCCAGACAAGGGCTCCCCAGTTGTGTTCAACCCAGCCGACATGCACGTCCCCCATCCCTTCATCTCCTTCAAGGGTTTGCCCAGATGCGCAGGTGCCTCCCCTAACGCAACCTCAGTGTCCTCCTCCATAAAACGGGCATGACAACGGGTACACTGGGGAGAACAGAGCCGCAGCTTGAGCCAAAGGAGGCTCACGGCACCTGCCGTGGGGAAGGCACACCCTGGGGCACGGCTGCTCTCTGACGGCACTCCCCTGCCTGGGGCTGGGGGTCGGCTTTGTTGAGTTTCCTGGCTGCTGGTAGCAAACTGACACCGACCTCACAGCCAAACCAAACTCAGCGCGCTGCTGCTTCTTGGAGGTGAAAGGGAGGGCGCTCAGCGGGACAGGCTCCGGCCAGACTCAGTGGAAGCAGAAAGAGGGTGTAACCCCGCCCCCACCCAGGGATCCCCACTTCCTGGGCCTGCTCAGTGAGGGGGGGGTTGAGGAGACAGAGGGGAGCGAGCACCCTGCTCAGCAGCTTCCGGGGTGAGCTGGGGGCTCTGGGACAGGGTGGAGACAAGGGCCTTACCTCTGGTGGGGAGAATCAGGCCGAGGACCGTGAGGAGACACAGGTGGCCGGCGGACAGCATCTACCGGGGAGCAAGAACCCGGGTTAGTGACACTGGCCTGGGACACACACACCCCCCAAACACGCAGCCCACCCTGAGCTGGTGCCTCTGGCCAGAGCTGACAGCTGACTTTGGGAGCAAGGGGAGGGTCCCAGAAATACGGGGGTCCCAAGCTGCCTCCTCCTTCCCCTCAACCCGCAGGTCCCCCAAGAAAACCAGAAGCATCAGCCCCAAGGGGCAGCGCCCGGGCACCGAGCCCCTCCCTGGCAGTGACAGCGCAGGGAGAATGTGTGGCCGCAAGAGATCCGGGGCCCAGCGCCCAGGAGCGGCCAGGAGGGCGCGGGGAAGAGTGAGTAATGCGCTCGTGGTCGCCGAGGAAAAATTGAGCAGCAGCCGAGCCCAGGACGCCGGGGGGGTGGGGGAGCGCCGGCTCCGGGAAGGATGGAGGAGGGCGGGGAGACTGAGGCAGGAGGCAGCGGCGCGCGGGGGCGTCCGCCGTGGTCCAGGAGGCGGCGGCGGGCGCGGCCGGCACCGCGCGAGGCGGAGAGGCGCCGAGGGGCCGGCCTCGACCCCACCTGTGCCGGACCCAACCGGGCAGAAGGGCGGCGGGAGGCACTTACATCGGCGCCGGGTCCAGAGCGAGTGGCAGCCTGGCGGGCAGACGGTGGCGGCGGCGGCGGAGCGGCGTCCAGGCGGAGGGTGTGGCCAGGGGCGCGCGGGCGGGCGGGGAGCGAGACGGGCGCAGTCATTTCCTCTTGGGTTTCCTGGCTTCAGAGCCGGGGTGGGAGCAGGAGGGGGAGACGCCGAGGCCGGTGGGGGCAGGGGTGAGAGGCAGGGCCGTGGCCTCCACGCCCCTAGCCTGGTGTTGGGGTGCTGGGGGTCAGGGCTGGGAGGGGGCTTCTTGGGGGAGGGGAGGCTGAGAAGTGGAGAGAAGAGGGGGCCCCCCGGAGGTGCTGAGGGAGGGGAAGGGAAACGGGGTGGGGATGAGCGATGCGCCCTGGGGGTTGGGGGGCGGGGCGCGCTCCCCCAGCTTCCCCCCTGCAGCCCCCTCCCCACTGTGTGCCCACAGATGAGAACACACAGACAGAACAGGGGAAAAAACCAAATGCACATTTATTAAGCTCAAGACGTGGACACCGAGAGGCACGGGGCACGGGATCTCGGGGAGAGAGGCGTGGAGATGCAGGGGAGTAGCACACGGGGGGGTTCTGGGGGCGCGGGGGTGGAGGCCTGAGTCCCTGGGTCTGGGGGTGCACACGGGCTCTTTGGGGAATCGTCACTGCCGAGGCCTGGGGAGGGGCAGTGGAGGTGCAGCGGCTCCAGCCTTGGGGTGGGCGGGGCGGCTCAGCTGGGGAGCGCTCCCAGCGCAAGGCTGGGCTCCCTACCGCCTGCTCCATGGTCCTCACCCTGTCTGCCATGGCAGCAGCCTTCCCTGTGGGCCTGCTGCCCCACCCTGCCCCCACCTTCCCACAGCCCCAGGGACTCTGTGTCTCAACTCAGAGCCCTCTTCAGGCTCCTACCACATTCCAGGGACAAACCAAAGTCCTCACCATGACCCACAATTCTCTGGGAGATCTGGTCCCCAATCGTCAGACCCCACCCCTTCCACTCTCCCGTGGCTCCCCTGTTGCAGCCACACCGGCCTCCCTGCCGTCCCTGGACCACGTGGGGCCTCTGCACTCGCTGTCCCGTCTGCCTGAGTGCTCTTCCCGCACCAGCTTCTGGGCTGTGATTATCGGTGATGCCTTCTAGAAATGTTCTATCCTGTCCTCAACATGTTCTCGTCACATTCCAGCCTTTATTTTCCTTTTCGATGATTCTCGTTTAGTAAATCCTCTGCATGGCTGTTTTCCTGAGTATCTGTGTCTCCCACCGAGCGTGGGTCGAGGAGGGCAGGGGATCTTGTCTGCCTTGCACCCTGCGGTGCCTCTGAGTGCCCAGAGCACTGCCAATTCTCCAAATAGGACTCGCGGGAGCACCCACTCTGCCCCATCGTGGCCCGGGCCTCTGCCCTCAGGAGTTTACTTCTGTGATATTGTGATAAAGCATCAACCAAAATCCCAAAAAAAACCAAGTCATGGCTGGGTGTGGTGTGGCGGCTTTTGCCAGAATCAGGGAAGGCCTCTTCCACCAGGCAGTCGATATTTGATCCGAGGCCAGAAGGGAAAGGAGCCTTTGCCAGCTGCATGGAGAGCCAAGGTGGGGGTGGGGTGGGGGGAGTATTTCTGCAGCAGCAACAGCAAGTGCAAAGGCCCTGAGGTGGGAGGGAGAGTCTGAGAGAGCAGGTGGGGGTTGAGGGGAGGCAGCAGGGTGTTTAGAGAGGAGACCAGGGCCAGACCTGCAGATCTGGGAGTCACATCTTTGGGCTGATGTCATGACATCATCCAAGTAATTCTTTGCCTTGCTATCTTCTATTTGCAAAAGGGCCCGGAGGTAAGCCACAGCTCAGCAGTGGACAAGCCAGGACTGAAATCCGGCCTGAGTCGCTGCTTTGAAGGCCTCTCTCCTCCGTTTCTCTAATGGCTCCAATGCACCAGCCCGGACTTCTGGATGGAATGGGGGGCTCAGGAGAGTGAGAGACCTCCCCTCCCCCAATCTGGTTCTGCCTTCCCTGAACCCAGCTGGCATGAGCCGCACCAGGGCGGAACACATATGCAGTGACCACAGCTTAAGCCACTTCCACAGTGACCCACTAGAATCTGCAGCCACCCCTCCACCGAGCCCCATGCTGCCCCTATCAGAAAACCCACCACTCACCATAATAAAATGGGTCAGGTTCCTCGGGAGCTGGGCAAAAGGAGGCAGAGAAAGAGAGGGAAGAACTATTTCAACACTGGGTTTCTCCATGTGTTTGAGGATTGTGACAATCAGATAAAGGCAACCCTTGCCCTGGTGGCAGGACACAAGGCCTGAAGAATGGGGCACAGAGTGGCTTCTGCCCATTGGTACCGTCCCCTGTGCGGTGCACAATCTATCCAGCCGTCCAGGGCATGCCCGATCCTAGACCACCATGGAGGCCTGACACAAGCTATGGGCTCATTCCTAAAACACACACACACACACGCACACACACCGACTTTCATGTGATGTCAGGGGTTAACAGATCCCAGTCCCACTGGTGGCCACTGATACTGGCTTCCCCTGAACACTCCCCAAAACTTGTAAGTCATCTGAGAGATCCCAATGACAGGCACTGCAGCTATTGTCCTTGTCCACTCACTCCTGCCTCCAACTCCAGTACAGGGGAGCTGGGCTGACTCATGGCCTGTGTTAGTGATTTCTAGGACACCAGTGATTTCAAAAGATCAAACCTTGATTTTTGCAATAGTATTCCCAGTGCGTTTGTCTGAGTGTAGCTCCAGCCAGAGCTCACCAGGTTTCAGAAACGTTAACAGGTGGATACGATGCGTGTCTATGGGTCTACCTGTCCCCGTCTCCCACCTCCCTGGCACATACCCCTTCCCATGCAAGAAGTGCACCTGTTGCCTCTTGAATTCTTCTGCCCGTTCTGTTGCATTTGGCCTTGTCCGGCCTTGTCAAGGCAGAATTCTGCAGGTGTGTGCCACCAGGCAAGGGGAGCCAGGGCGATGCCAGGTGGTCACACTCATTTTTCCCTCCACCTTCCAGGCTCTGGGAGGGCCGGCTCCCTTGAAGTTCAGTGGGACCATGTGACTAATTCGGGCCAATGGCCATTTCCAGGCCAGAGCACTTAGGTGCTCCTGCAAGGGCATTCCTTCACCTCTGGCCTGGTGACCTGAATATTCTAGAGGGAGGTGGCACTAGGATTTTTAGTGAGACCCCCAGTCTACCTGTGATGGACACATAGCATCAGAGAGGAACGCCTCCTGCGTGTCCCCGCCCCCGCGTGCCCCAGCCTACCTGCCCCATACAGGTGCCTGGTCTGATCCACACCAGGTGGAACTCTGCCCTTCCCCTGTCTCCAGGCTCCAAACAGGAAGTCCTGGGCTGATGCTAAATGGTCTTTGACACCTCCCAGCCCTGTGATGCTCCTCTTTTACCCCAGGGAACTTGAGCTCAGAGCCTGCAGCGAGTATGCTGAGATAGACTTTTGTGACGTAATTGGATGTTGTCATTCATTCGTTTCTCTTCTTGCTTGCTTGTCCATCTAACCAGCAGTGGAGAGCTCTGACTCCACTCCAGCCTTGCTTATGAGCACTTTATAGATACTAACACATTAATCCCGGCAGCAGCTCTCTGATGGAGGTGCTATCTTCATCCTTCTTTCACAAAAGGGGGACATTGGACCAGGAAAAATAAAGTCGCCAGCTTAACTTTGTTTCTGTGCTTGTTTTCAGTTTAATGACCCACCTTGGATTTTCCCTTTGTACTGGTGGAGCTAATGATGTTTGTAAAAAGCTAATCCTTGCAAGAAAAAAAACATGAAGTCGATAGCAATGTGGGGGGGGGGGCACTTGAATGAGGCAAGAACCAGAAAGCTGATGGTGGCAGACACTGTTTTAGGGTCACCCGTGCTCTGTCTCAGCACCCCTGCCCGACTCAGCTCTGCTGCTAACCCTGACATGTATGAAAGGCCAAAGAAGTTCCCTGGAATGTATGAGTGGATGAAAGCGAGGCCCTCCTGTGCTGTGGGAGGTGGATTCTCTATCAAAGGTGGACTATCTTGCTTTGATCTCCGGATTTTCCACCCCTCTCTTCTTCCTCAAAAGTTCTCAGGAATCCACTGGGTGAGCGCCTGTTCCAGAATCCTCCCTGGGTGCTGGGCGCTCCTTGCAGGAGAAAAATCCTCTTCTGGTCCTGGCTACCCCAGCAATCTGGGTCTTCAGGGCGTGGCTGGGCTATGGGTGGAGCCAGGAGGCAGAGAAGGAATGTGCACTACTCCTGGCCAGTTGCCAAGGAGAGATCAGGAAGGAGGTGGTTGCTATGGCAACTGGAGCATCTTGAGAGGTGATGGGTCCAGGCACCCCGGGCTGGGTGGGGTCCTGTGTGAGGCTTGGGGGTTTTCTTTCTAACTCTGGGCTCAATCTTGATTTCCTCTCCTTTGGCACCTCTCACTGTTAGCCCTGCAGGGCTGGCTGCTGGCCAAGTTCAGGGACCCTTTCAGGGACAGGGACAGGGACAACAGGGACCCAGGCCCAGTGGTGCTCACGCATCCCCATTCGCCTGGCCCCCGATTCCTCCTCCTGTTCTCCGGCAGGGTGCAGAGAGACGCATCTCCCTCCCCCTCTTCCCAACAATTCATTAATTAGTTGCCTTAAGTGGCTCACAGCGCACAACACGGTTCTCCTTCACCGGGATTTCCCGAGACCTGCGGTCCCCTCTCACGCTGCCACTGGGAAGGCAGGGCACTGAGGCATCTGTCCTGCCCCTGCCAGTCTACTGCCATCGATCCTGCTAACCACCACCTCTGCGAAAAGAAGCCCTGGGCTCCCGCCAGACCTGCTGGCTCAGCCCTGCCCCCTCTCCCCAGAGTGGCCTCCAGCCTCTGCAGCCCCCCTCCCCCCGCCCTGCTTCGGATTCTGCAGATACGGCTCAGTGCAGCAAGCCCCTGCCTGCTGGGAAAACGGGGAGGGAGGGGGAGGGAGAGGTGGATCGGGGTTCCCTTCCCCTCCAGGGGCTCCTCAGCATCCCTGGCCCTGCCCCCCCCCCAGCATTCTGTCCACTGCTCCTCTGCAGAAGCAGGCTCAGCGAAGGGGGCTACCGGGGGTCCATGGTGGGGGAGGCGGTTTAAGCAGGTGCATCACTGGGTAAACGGGTGCAAGATGTCAGTCACAGAGCAGCCGGATGGGGCCAGGAGGGCCATCTGTGCATACCCAGTTCACCTCTGGGGACACTGGCGTGGAACCTGGGAGGGAGGGTCCCGCCACCCCCTTCCCACCATGGAGGCTCACTGCAGTGATTCGGGCCCCACCCCAGGCTGCCCTCCCCCCTCCCTTCCTATCTCCAGCCCCCCACTCCCAAGCCAGGGTCTCCCTATCTCTGGTTTTCTCTTTCTGTGCATCTCCCTCGGCTGCTGGCTGCCTCTCGCCTGTCTTTCTGGGTCTCTTCCTTGCTCGCTTTCTTTTTCAGGCTTAGTGTCTCTCTCTTCAGTTCACCCCGTTTCCCTGTGAACCTGTCTGCTAGCGATTTCAGGAAACACCCACCGCAGGCGACAGCGATGCTGGAAACACGAGCGATCTAGAACCCTGCCCCTTGCCCAGCTCGAGGATCCGGAAATCTCCCCAAACCTCTCTGGCCGCTACCCACCCGCTCCCACCCTAAAGCCCATCTCCTCCGTCTGCCACCACGGGCACTGGACCAGCCACCCGGTTGCCATAGCAACCTGTCCGCGCATCCTTTCTCCCGGGACTGCCACTCTCTAACCACGGGTCCTGCACAGGGATGCCACCACCGCCCGGGAGAGGGTGTCCAGGGGTGAGCCACGGGGCAGGGGTGCTCCGCTCAGGGGAGGGACAGACATCCTCTCCCCACTCCCCTCCTTATCCATTACGGGAATCTTCCAACCCCCTCTCTCTCCTAAGGTATCAGATCCCGAAGCCCCCCACCCCCAACCCTGCTTTGCGCCTCCTTGTCTAGGCACGGCTCACCGTTTGTGGGGGTCTGGGTCGGGGTCGCCATGCTGGGCCGGAGCAGGGGGGCTGCTGGATACTGCTGAGGCGGTGACGGCGCGGCTGCAGCAGCTGGAAGCAGGACAGACTGATGGGGACAGATGGGGGGAGCCCTGGTGTTGGGGGGGGCTGTAGCCAATGGGGGCCCGGGGAACCCGCCCCCGTCCTGGCCACCCCCGCCCCCGCTCCCGCCCACTGCCGACGTCCCCGCCCCTTCCCCAAGGGTGGGGGCGCCCCCTGCCGGGGCCAAGGGGGCGCCCAGGTTTTTCGCAGAGGGACCGACAGATCAACAAAGCGCTTACGAGAGAGGGAGAGAGAAGCACGTTTTATTGCAAGTCTGGGCGGTACCAGGGATGGGGGTGGGGGGTAGGGGTGATGGGCAGGGCTGGGGAGGGGGCAACCGAGGTGATGGTAGGCGCGCAGGTGGTGGGTGCAAGGTGTCAGGTGCCAGGGGGAACCTGTGGGAGGGAACAGGGTCAGAGGCGCGGAGGGACCCCAGCCCCAGCCGACGACGCTCCCACGCCGGTCTCCCTCCCCCAGCGCACTCAGGGCTGCAGGACCTGGCTTCGTTCCGCGGCGCCAGGTGTCTTTACCGCCTGCGAGTGGACAGACCTGAGGGCACACGGAGAGTTCTGGCGTCAGGAGGGGCCCGCGGCGGCTGCGGGCTACTCCCCGCAACCCCATTTCAGATCAAGCCCCTCCCCCCGGGCGCCCGGCAAGCGCCGGGGAAGGGATTCCGGGTCCAGCCCTCAGCCCTAGGCTTCCGCGCCCGTCCCCGGACTCACGGCGGATGGAGCTGCGGAAAGTCCCCTCCTCTTCGTCGGGCTCCCCGGTCCTGGAAGGGAGAGGCGCAGGGAGTTGGGGGTGGAGAGGCAACTGCTTCCAGGAAAGCCCCGCGGAACCCCGTTTCCCAAGCCGGTATCGGGAGGCCCAGGGCGCGCGAGGAGCAGCCTCCCGGCCCGGGCAGGAGAGCGGGTGACAGGAGCGGCGAGTCCCTCCGCAGGGACTCGAGTCGTAGACCCAGGACCCCCACCCACTCTCCCGGCATGATCTCGGGCAGGTGCCTCCATCTCCCCGCGTGGCGGCCTGCCTAGTGCGGGCGGTGTGAGGCATCAGTAAGACCGCATGCAATGCAGCGGGGTCTCGCACGTGGCGCGCGCCCCGGCAGCTCTGGCTCCCGCCGTAAGAACACCTGTGAGCGCGCGCAGGTGTCGCTTTCCTTCGCGCTGTGTCAAAGCGCTCTGAACAGGACTCGGGGCTAAACCAGGCCGCCGAGCGACCCCGCGTGGCCCCCTGCCGCTGCGTGTCCTCGCCGGGGTGACCTCCCAGGCGGGCGCCGCTGCCACCGCGCGCCACCCCGGGCCGGGGGCTTGGCACACAGCAGGTGCGTCACGCACGTTCGCCGAAGGATTCTGGCCGCGGGGCTGCGGACTGCCGGCCTCACCCCACGCCCCTCTCTAAGGCTCTCACCTCTGCTGCTGGTTGAACTTGCACCGGCATCGCTTGCCTGTGGGGACGGGAAGGGGCAGACTGAGCGCCCCTATAGGCGGGCACCCACGGGCCCTGGCTCCCGCTCGCCCTCGTCTGGGTCCGCGAGGCGCCGCCACAGACGCGGCTGAAGGCGGGGCCGGGCAGGGGCCGGACTGGAAGCGGGGAGGGGGCGGGGTGGTGAGGGGCAGGACGCGGAGGCGGGAGGGGTGGGGCTGGAGGCGGGACTGGAGTCTGGACGGGACGCGGGGGAGAGGGGAACAGGGCGAGGTGTTGGTGGGGGGTCGTGGGATGGGGAGGGCGGCTGGGACATGGGCGGGGCTGGGAAGGCCGGACCTGGGCAGGACGGGAGCAGGAGGCGGGGCGATGCTGGCTGGGCTGGAGGCGGGACAGGGGCAGGACGCGGGATGGGGAGGGGCGGGCAGAGCGAGGGCAGGGGCGGGACCTAACTAGGGCGGGGCAGGAGGAGGGGCAGAACTGGTGTCCGGAAGAGGGGGCCGAGGCAGGCGAGGCACGGGGTGGGTGGTCGTAGGGCGGGTAGAACACGGGCAGGGCTGGAGTCAGGACGCGGAGGTGGGGGTGGGACAGGGCGAGGCGGGGGTGGGGGTGGCTGGGACACAGGCTGGGCAGGGGGCGCGACCGGGCGGGCTCTCACTGAGGATGATGAGGATGCCCAGGATGAAGAGGATCCCGGCGATGATGAGGCCTCCGATCCGCAGGGACTGGTAGTCTGTGGGTGGCGGGGAGGAAAGAGGTGGCAGGAGAAGGGGAGAAAGATCCCTGGGCGGGGGAGGGGGGGGGAGCACGCAGGAGAAGGTGTACGGGAACGGGAGCGGCCTTGGAAGCAGCTGACCATGAGCCCCGAGATGCTGAGAGGGAGAGACCCCCAGCAGGAGAGAGCGAGGACAGGGGTGCGGGCGGCATGAGACTAGACGGGCAAGTCCAGTCCCTCCCCTCCACTCCCCCAACAGAGGGACCCTGCTCACCGTAGGTGAATGGATCCTGCTCCTGCGGCGCTTCTGGAAAGAGAGGCATCGGGGTCGCGTCTCAGAGAGGGCGACCCTCTGAAGACCCTATGGGGCTCCACCTTCCTGGGTGGGCCGCCCACCTTCTCTGGGTCCCAGCACTCTGACTCGTGGCAGGTGCCTCTGCCAGCATCCCTCCCCCTACCTTGGCCTCCCCTCGCCTGCAGCTCAGCCTCATGTGGGGGTCCTCAGTTTAGCACCCCAGCTTATACCCCAGCTCGAGGTTGGGGGTCTCCGATGTGGTTCTCATGGGGTTTCTCCTCCCCGTGCCGCCCCGCGACTCACCTGCATTGGCCATGGCGAGGAGACCCATGCAGACAAGCAAGGTGTGATGGAGATAGGCCATGTCCTGTGGGGACAGCGTGCTCAGCAAGGGTGTGCCTCCGCCCACCCGCGCAGACTGCTGGGGCCTGGGCCCGAGGGGTTAAGTCCGAGACAGGCCAGGGACTTAACACAAAGTCACCCAGCTTAGTTGCCTGAGGAACAAGGGCAGCCCCAGGACGTCACCGGACAACCAACCAAGTGGGGGTCAGCCCAGCCAGGGCCGGGGTGGGGGAGATGCCGCCCACACGGCTCTCCCATGGGCCTCCACATCCCCGCAGCAGGTCCCAGATGCCAAGCACCCACACCAGGACAGAGACGGGCACCCATCGTGAGCCCATGGGACACGCCCAGGTCCCACCTGCCCTGCAAACCTCACCGTGTCCGCACCAAGTCCCGGCTCCCCCTTCCCTCAGCCGCCCGCCCGCTCTGGGCCTGACCCTGTGTATAAATATGTCCCACTTCACGCTAGAGGAATTCGCCTCACACAAGCCACCATGGCAACAGCCCGGCTTCCCCCACTCGGGGGTCATGCACAAGCTGCCACTGCGCCACAGGCCGCCCCAGTGGCAAAGGCCACCCTGCTCCTCTTCTGGAAGCAATGAGTCAGGGGAATGACGTCCCCCCCCCCCCGCCTCTGTGTGACATCTTTCTTAACCGGACAATGGCCGGCCAGTGACTTGAGGCCCAGGTTAGTAGGCCTGGGGAGAGAGAGAAGCCGATGTCAGGAGCTGGGACACACACACACACACACACACGCACACACACACATACACGCACGCGCACCCATGGTGGGTGGGGCCGGAAGGGGGTGCAGACAACACCCTTTCCCCACACTGGGTGGAGGGACGCCGAAAGCACAGCCCGCCAGCCATACAGCACCCCCCTTCCAGGGCTCGGGTGCCCCCCATCAGGGACAAACAGACCTCCACGTGTGTGCGTCCTGACCTCACACCCAGCCTGGGAAGGGAGGAGCTGCACCCACACTCCCAGCCCTGCCGAACCCCAGCGTCCTCACCACCACTCTCCTCCCTCCTGGGTCAGGCCTGCCTGGGAAGCCACCGGCTGGCCACTCCTGCTCCCAAAATAGGCAGGCTGGCCCCGCGAGGGGGGAGGCCTGCAGCGGAGGGGTGGGCACGCTCACCCCAGTCAGGCTGTCCCCCGCTGAGCGAGGCCCCCACACTGTCCGGCTGTGCCCTGGGGGCTGAGCACTTCGGACCCCCTGGCCCAGAGCTGGACGCACCGCCCCCGCGGGCTCCCCTCCCGGCCCCACCCCACCCAGGCCCTCCCCAACCAGCAGCTGTAACTGGAGCCCAGGCTGGAGGGGGGCCAGGGGCCGGCCCCCAGCCCAGACCGCCCTGTCCCGCTAGGTTAACTCTCTCAGCTCAGACGCAGCGGGCGTGCAGAGGACAACGGCGTGGCGCACCAGGGCACGCACACGCCTGCTGACGGAGCGGCTGAGCTAGGGCTGGAGGGCAGAAGCCAGAGGTTTTCCGCACCACTCCCTGCAAATGGGGCTAGGCAGAGGCCTCAGGTCAGTAAGCCCTAGGACTCGCTGACCCTGACCCCAATGCCCTGTGGGGGCGGGGACTTCAGAAGTGTGTATGTGACCTCTGCAGCTGCCTGTGAGGTCCCCCAGGGGTGTACAGCACACACACACACACACACACAGCTGCCACACAGAAACCTAGACATGTGGACGTGAAAAACTGGCCAGTCCACGTGTGGACATCCACACCCACAGAGGCAGACAACACACAGCCGGCAGGCACCCCTCCCGCCGGTCACACAGTCATATTTGCGTCACGTACCCTGAGACACACAGACAGAGCAGTCACACAGATGCCGGGAAGACGCACCTGCACGTGGCCACACAGACGTCAGTCCACGCACACCGCACGGCGGCTCGTTCAAAGCCGTGGCCGCGCAGCCAGCTCCCTTACACAATCCCGAGAAGCAAAGGCCAACAGACTCGTGTGTACGTCCCTGATGCACAAGTCGGAACTGTCTAGGACACGGCCACGCCACCAGCCACTCCCACACTCCCACTCCCACCACGGAGCAGACACACTGGTGTCCACAAGGAGGTGCATGGCGGGCCCCTCCATCACACCCGTCACAGGCCGACACTCGGCTTCACCTGCTCCAAAAACATGGCCGTGGCGAACTTCCCTTCCCCTGAGCTCCTACGTCCTCCTCGATGGGGGGACACTGCTCCTGGTGTCCCCAAGAGCAGGCCATGGTGACAGAGACCTGGAATCAGGGCTGGGCACTGCACTCCCGGTTGTGTGACCTGGGGCAGCCCTCAGTTTCTGGTGCTATAGAATGGAGGAATCACACTCCTAACACCCAACTGGGCAGAGAGGCCTCTGAACTTGACGTTGTCTTATTATCACCTCCATTTCAGAGAAAGAGGAGGTTTAGCCAAGACCTCTCCTGAGGTTCTCCTGGGGGTTAAGGACAGAAACATCTCCACCTTCCAACGCCCCAGCCCAGACATCCCCACGCTCAGACACCCCAGGAGCACCTGGGCATGCGCACACCCAGGCACAGCATAGCCCTCTCTCTCTTACACACACACACACACACACACACACACACACACACGGCTTTGGAAGGCTCCCTCCCGCCATCTGTCTGTGCCTTTGCCCCAGGTCACCGGCAGCCCCTGGTTAATGATAACCCTGATGTTGATACAGGACTGGGCTGGGGGCACCCAGCCAGCCCCTGGCCAATCCCGCTGCTTTGTCTCAGAGAGCCGGCTCCAGAGCGCTGACTGCCCAAGAGTGCCGTGGCTCAGCACTTTCCAGCCGTGTGAGTGAGGCCGGACAGGTGATTGACCTCCCTGTGACTCAGTGTCTCTTTCTGTAACCAGGAGAGAAGATCGGAATTCACCGCAGAGGGAGGTCGGGAGGAGTATGTACATCATCTGTGTAGGAGCTGGCGCTGCCGCCTGTGACACGGGCATCCCATATGAGCGCCTGTTCTTGTCCCATCTGCTCTGGGTTCTGTCCAGCTAATGCACCCAGGAAGGCAGTAGAAGATGGCCCAGGTGTTTGGGCCCCTGCACCCACGTGGGAGACCTGAATGAAGCTCCAGGCTCCTGGCTTCAACCTGGTCCAGCCCAAGCCTCTTTGAGCATTTGGGGAGTGAACCAGGGGATGCAAGCTCGCTCGCTCTTGCTCTCGCTCTCTCTGTAACTTTTGCCTTTCAAATAAATAAATAAATTTTTAAAAAATCCATGTAAAGCAATGAGAATGAAGCCTGGCACACAGGAGGTGATTAAAACAATCAGCTGGTGCCGTTGTCACTGTCATCTTTCTCAGGGGAACTGGAGTGAGCCCCCTGCTGGCCTGGGACACCTGCGCTCCCCTCTGGCCCACAGCTTGCACTTGCAAGGATACTATCAAGATGCTTCTCTCACCCGCCTCGCAGAACCAAGGGCCTTGCTTGAATCACAGACTGTTAGGGTACAGGACTGGCACCTGGATGCAGAGTTTCTTCCGTGTTCCCACTGAGCTGTGTCCACAACTGGGCATTGGGTGCCTTGACTGTGCCCATTTCACAGATGGGAAAACTGAGGACCATGGTAGCCAAACAACTTGCCTAAGCCAGACAGGCCTGAGTCAGGCGCTCAGCCCACTTGCCACATTTCAGCCGCTGCTGTTTAACCCTCTGTCCCCCAGCAAGTCCCCAGGGTTGTGCACCAGTGGCGAGAGAGGCCATGTGTGTTCGAAGTCCTGGAAGCAAGTCTCCCATGCCCAAGCTATGGGGTGGGACTGCCCGGTGGTTAGGGTTAGAACTGAGCAGCACCACGAAACCAACCATTCACCTGTCTGTGCCTCAGTCTTGCCATCTGTAAAGTGGGCGTAGTAACACCGCCTGCCTCACAGCACAGGCAGTCACACGGTTAATCCTGGTATCACTACCATTTCAGGTTGGGGGAAAAGTGCCACAGAGAATCCACCCACGTCGCTAAAAGCTTTAGCCCAAATGACAACAGTTAGCCACATACCCCTGGACTCTGGTCTCCTAGACAAGGCTGGCACCGTTCTCAAGATTTCCTTGGGTGGTGGAGACACAAGGGGTTAATTCCCCAGGGAGAGGAGGGAGGTCCGGGGTGTGGGGCAGGCAGTGGACCTGCCGAGTGTGGCCACTAGAGGGAGCAGCTGGGCCCGAGTCAGTCCCTTAGCCTCAGCGGCAGCGCCCACCACACCCTCCTGGAACCAGGGGAGGGGGCTGGCTCGCAAGTGACCAGGACCCCCGGGGCCCCTCTTCGCACCCCCTCCCATCTGCCGAGCCATCCGGTCCCCACCCGGGTGACATCCTCCTTATTACACTCACTCCCTGAATGGGGCTGACTGGGGGCTCTGGGGAGGGGGCTGGCTGGGCGTGGCCAGGACAGCTCCAGCCCGTGGCGGCCCCGCCCCCTCCCAAGGGGCCACCCAGTCCCTTCCCCAGAGCTGCTCTTCCTATGGCCTCTGACCCCCTCCTCCTTCCTACTCAGCCTTGCCAGGCGCTCCCGGGGCCCAGGGAGTCCCTTTCCCAAACCCTCGGGGAGAAGGGGCCTGGGAGGGGGCAAAGAGGAGGGCAGGAGAGGGGAAACAGAAACATCAGCCGGGAGCCGCTCAGAGGCCGGCAGACAGAGACCCGCAGGGAGTGAAAGACAGGACAGAGCCAGAGAGAGAGAGACAGAGAGACAAAGGCAGGCAGAGAGCGAGCAAGGGAGCGAGGGAGCTAGAGAGTGGGTAGCGACCAACTCAGAATTGGAGACACTGGGAGAGAGGCAGGGAAATACACAGACTAGGACCGGGAGGAAGGCAGGCTGCAAGAGAGGCCGAGGCTGAGGGCCAGGGCCAGGGCCAGGGCGGGGAGGGCAGGCGGACTGCACGGGCGCCTGGCGCAGGAGATGTAGTGGCCGGGGCTGGGTGGGACAGGGGAGCGGGCGCCTCGGCAGGGGGAGGGCCATGGGAGGGGCGGCCCTTCTGCTGCTGCTGCTGGCTGGGGCAGGGGCGGGGGGGCCCTGGAGAGCCCCGAAGGGCAAGTGTCCTCCAAGCTGCTCCTGCTCCAAGGACAGTGCCCTGTGCGAGGGCTCCCCGGAGCTGCCTAGGACCTTCTCTCCCACGCTGCTGTCACTGTGAGTGCCAGGGGCCCCAGGCGCTGGGGCAGGGTGCTGAGGTGCCCAGGATCTGGGGATGTGAGCGGCCGAGGGCACTGAGATGCCCCCAAGGGCACTGCACGGTTCATGGCAGGGAGCGGAGGGATGGCCCTGGGGACCCCAGGGGCGGCCCATCTCCCTGGGTGCAGGGGAGATATCAGCACCCTGGGGCAGGGAGGCCTGCTGGGGGCGTGGAAGGGGCTCGGCCCTCACCCGTCGCTGCCTGTGTCTCCAGGTCGCTCGTCAGGACCAGACTCCCCCAGCTGAAGGCCGGCAGCTTTCTGAAGGTGCCGTCTCTGCACCTGCTGTGAGTGGGGCCCGGCTGGGCCGACCATGAGCTCACACGCTGGGGGGGCAGTCACGCACACGTGGGAGGGGGTGCGCACACATGCATGCATGGTCTGTGCCCACACTCACACCCGCGGGCATGCCTGTGGGGGCTGGGGGTGGGGCCGAGGTTACAGTGTCAGCGGGCGGGTGGCGAGTCTAGAAATTGTCTCTCTTGCTCCCTCGCCAGCCTCTTCACCTCCAACTCTTTCTCCGTGATTGAGGATGACGCATTTGCGGGCCTGTCCCACCTGCAGTATCTGTGAGTGCGGCTGGGGCTGGGAACAGGTGGGCCTGGGGGGGGGGGTGGTGCACTGGGGAGGCGGAGTCTGGACAAGGCTCTTCCTGCAGGAACACTGGGGGCCTGGCTCCTAGGGCGGCGTTGGGGCCACTGACCTGAGTCCCTGTGTCACTTCGGCCTACTCACCTCACCTCTCTCTGCTTCAAAGATCCTGCATAGTTAGAGCCCGTCTCTGTCCCTGCTTGAGTGACAGGGGAACCCAGGGAGGGTACAGGCAAGGGAGCGAGAGGCAGGAAGCGCTGCCCGTCATCAGCCCACAGCTCCGAGTGAGGTGGGGGCAGGGACGGGGTGACAAGCTGGCCTTGGAGCTGGTGACGGCGGCGGTACTCTTGTTGCTGTTGATCACGGGGAAGTGATGGTTTTATTGATGTGAAGGAGTGGGGAGACTGTTGATAAAAATGGCGGCTCAGTGGTGATGGTGGTGTTGGTACTGATGCCGGAGTTGGCCGGATGGTGTTAGTCCTCAGCGCTGTGGGGGTTGGTAACTGTGCCATTGGATTGACGGGGGCGGCGGCTGTGGTGGGCCACTGGTGTGGTATCCATGGCAGTCTTGTTGGCCCTGGGCTGGTGACGGAAGTGGAGATGTGGGTATTTAGGAAAATGGCAGTCAGGGTGCTGGTGGTGAGTGGAGATGTGAGTGTTGCGGATACTGGCGATGCAGGTGGTACCGGCCGGTGTCAGTGCTGGTGCCTGTGCGGAGGTTTATGATCCCAGTGGTGGTGTGGGTGACAAGGTGGCAGTGTTTTTGGTTTGGGTCATGAAGGTATTGGCGGTGGTGCTTGTCAGTGTTGGTCGGTTCGGTGCAGTGAGGAGGCGGGTGGTGGGATGGCAGGGCACGGTGTAGAGGGTGATGGCACACTTATCAGTTCTGGGGTTGGTGATGGGGACAGAGACCTGGGCGATGGTGTAGGTCATAAGGGATGAAGCCTCAGGGATTGGTGGCCGTGGTGACGGTGGTGGCCATGGTGACAGGCTGGCAGGGCCAGAGGGCCAGGTTTTGGGCTCCTGGGACTGGGATCCGGGAATTTGAGGGGGAGTCCTTTGTGAGGAGGCTTCCCTGGGATTGGCTGAGGTTCTGGGGGGAACCCACCATCTTCAGTGGCCTCTGGCTGCGCAGGGGCGTTCCCTGTGGGCCCCCCTCACCCCGCCTTCCTTCTGCAGCTTCATCGAGGACAATGAGATCGGTTCCATCTCTAAGAACGCCCTCCGAGGACTCCGCTCCCTCACACACCTGTGCGTGCCACCGCGCCCCAGCCCGTCACCCAGGACCCAGGGCACCCGACGGGGCTGACGGCTCCCCCTCCCCCTTCCTCCCCCAGAAGCCTGGCCAATAACCACCTAGCGGCCCTCCCCAGATTCCTGTTCCGAGGCCTGGAGACCTTGACTCACGTGTGAGGCTCAGGGGGCTGGCAGGGTGGGGGTGGCAAGTGTGGGGGCGAGGGGGTGAACCTGGTCCGTGGGGCCCCATCCCGGACCCTTGCTTGGGGAGGGGGTGAGGAGCATGGCCTCCAGGGGGTGGAAGCCGGGTTGCAGCCCCCTCCCTGGCCCTCTTGCCCCAGGGACCTCCGTGGGAACCCGTTCCAGTGTGACTGCCGCATCCTCTGGCTCCTGCAGTGGCTGCCCACCGTGAATGCCAGCGTGGGGACCGGGGCCTGCGCGGGTCCCACTGCCCTGGCCCACATGCAGCTCCGCCACCTCGACCCCAAGACGTTCAAGTGCAGAGCCATAGGTGGGGGCTTTCCTGGCGGGGTGGGGGTGGGGGAGTGGTGGCCCGGGGCTGAGGGTCTGACTCAGCCCTGTTGTCCCTTGGCTCCTGGCTGGGAGACCCCAAGTAGGCAGGCCGCCTTCCTGGGCTTCTGCTTCCAAATTCATAAACTGGGGGCAGTGAACAGTGACGGGGATTTCTTGAGAACCCACACCTGCACGTGGCCTGGCACGGGAGGCCCCTATCAACACTCACTCTCCGTGTTGATGGGAAACACTCCCTTGGAGCCCAGAGCTGTGCTAGGGGCTGTGAGTGCTGGGGCCGCGATGAAGGCAGCTCTGCGTGTTGGCCACACCCCGCCCACGGTTCAGGGGCAGGTGGGCCCACCCCAGAGTACCCCATGCTGGGCAGCGAGACACAGGCAGAGGGGTCAGGGCCAGGCTGGGGCAGCCACAGAAGCAGAGGGGACCCGGAGCCCATGTCAGGGCCACGCAGAGCAGAGAGGTCAGAGAGACCTTGAAGGACTGGGCACGCGAGCTCACCCTGGAGGGGTCTTACACAGATGCATTCAAGCAGTAGTAGTGCTAACTCTTCTTGTGTACCCGTCAGGCCTATTTTCGGGCTGGGTGATTGACAGGACAAGAGGACAGTAACTTCGGGGTTGGTCTGTATGCAGGTATTTAGTAAGCACTCAAGGAGGCCCACTCCCAGCCCTGCGGGGGGTGATGGCCACACTGCAGTGACCAAGGCGGCCCTGAGCCCTGGCCTCATGGGACCTGCAGCTCCAGAGTTTGGGGGAAAAGACATGGAATGAAACACTGCACAGATCGATGTGTGCACCACCCTGTGGCACCTGCAGGAGTAGGAGAGGGGCCAGGGGGTCCTATCTTACATGGGGGACCGGAGCAGGGGCACTAGCTCTGGATTTAGCGAGGTGAAAAACAGACCGAGGGGCACCCCCCAGAGGAGGGAAGAGCACGGGCAAGGCCCTGAGGTGGCAGAGAGTAAGTGGGGAACAGGTGCACAGATGAGGTCGACGGTTGCAGGGCCTCACTTTGGAAGCCACGGAGGGGGGAGGTAGACTTGGTTCTGACGGCTATGGGAAGCCATGGAGGGCTTTGCACATGGGGGCGCCATGATTTGATGGGCATTTTCCACGAGGTGCTTCTTTGGGTGGGCAGCCTTGGTGGTCCAGCTCATGGCTTCCAGCCTGAAGTCAAATGCCCGGCTCCACCTCTGACGAGCCTCAGTTGCCAGAACAGCTAAGCATTGGTCGCAGAGGGGGCTTAGCACAGAAGGAATTAAGGACGACAGGAGGGTCTCTGGTGAGCAGGTTCAGTGGATGGGGGAGGGGGGGCGCTGGACACCAGCCTCCTTCCAGGGCTGTGGTCAGGTCAGCTCGGGGTTCATCCCATGCCAGCCCAGGACAGCGGCTCCCACACCAGCGAGGCAAACCTCACACCCGCCCCTCCCTGTTGCTTTTGAACTTGACCTTGACTTAATCTTGTCGGCACTCAAACTTCCAAGGAGGGCGGGGAGTGGGGACGCCAGGGATAAGGTGACCGCTGGCTGGGCAGCTCCAATCTTGCTGGGAAAGGGGTGGTTTTGTTGGGCAGCCGGGTGCCGGGGTCTCAGCTTTAGCTCAGAGATGGAGACAATAAGAAAAGGATGCACCCTGCAGGAAAGCCATGAAGTTAGCAAGTTATTCGACCTGGATGTGCCAATGCTAGGGAACTACTCGATGATGCACACCACTTAGAAAACAGACAGCCGTGCGAGCAAGGAAAAGACTCCACGGGGTGACTGCTGCGGGTGGCCCTTGCATCAGGGGTGTGGAAACTGGGGCTCAAGAGCAGGAGCTTGGGGTCCCTGGGACTTTGCTTTGACTCTCTCCTGCCACCCCCCAGAGCTGTCCTGGTTCCAGACGGTGCGGGAATCGGCGCTGGGTGTGGAGCCCTTCTCCTACCAGGGCGAGCCCCGCATCATCCTGGCACAGCCCTTTGCCGGCCGCTGCCTGATTCTCGCCTGGGACTACAGCCTGCAGCGCTTCCGGGCCGAGGAGGAGCTGGCAGGTGAGCCCCCTTCCCGTCCTCCCTCCCGCCCTTCCGCGAGGCTGCCCAGCCGGTCTGACCCACTGCTCGCCCCCACCATCGCCTCCCAGCACCCTCGGTGGTATCCTGCAAGCCCCTGGTGCTGGGCGCCCGCCTCTTCGTGCTGGCCGCCCGCCTGTGGGGAGGCTCGCAGCTGTGGGAGCGGCCCAGCCCCGACCTGCGCCTGGCCCTGACCCAGGCACTGGCCCCGCGGAGGCTGCTGCGGCCCAACGACGCTGAGCTCCTGTGGCTGGACGGACAGCCCTGCTTCGTGGTGGCCGACGCCTCCAAGGCAGGCAGCACCACGCTGCTGTGTCGGGATGGGCCCGGCTTTTACCCGCGCCAGAGCCTGCACGCGTGGCACCGGGACACGGATGCTGAGGCCCTGGAGCTGGATGGCCGGCCCCACCTGCTGCTGGCCTCGGCCTCACAGCGGCCAGTGCTCTTCCAATGGTCCGGTGGCCGCTTCGAGAGGCGCACGGACATCCCAGAGGCCGAAGACGTCTACGCCACGCGCCACTTCCAGGCTGGGGGGGATGTGTTCCTGTGCCTGACGCGCTACATCGGGGACTCCATGGTGAGGGCCCCCTCAATGCGGTGGGCTGGGGAGGGCCCGAGGCAGGCACTGCCCCCTGGTGCAGGCTGGTCTTCCACCCCAGGCTCACATGCTGACCTCTGAACTCTGATCCTACCCCAACACTCCCTGCCCCCAGGACTGACGCTGGCCCTGAGATTCTGATCTAATTCCCCAAATTCTGGCTCTGTGACTCAGACCCCCCCCCCAGTCTTACACTGAACCCCAGTCACATCCATGCCCATGCTGACTCCAGACCCCCAAGGCTGATGCTGGGGTGAAGCCCTGCTCGCCCCCAGCCCCTCTAGAGGCACCTCTCTTCCTGGAGTGGGGTACAGCCAGGGGAGGCTTCCTAGCCTGGAGGGGCCCTGATGGGGAGCCCATGGTGGGGGCAGATGAGGGAGAAGGCTGCTGGGAAGGCCGGGCAGGAGGTGCGGTCAGAGGAGGTGTGAGAAGTGGGAACTGTCACAGGAGAAGTGGGGGTCCCGCTGCTGGCTGATTCTGTGTGGGTGTGGGGTACAGACAAGGGGCAGGTCGCAGCCTGAGCAGCTCCAGCCGAGGGCACGTTCACGCAGACAAGAAGGCTGGGGGGGCTTAGGGAGAGTGTCCGGGGAGACAAGTGGGCCCTAACTGGCTGCCACACCCCCAGGTCATGCGGTGGGACGGCTCCATGTTCCGCCTGCTGCAACAGCTGCCCTCCCGCGGGGCTCACGTCTTCCAGCCCTTGTTCATCGCCGGGGACCAGCTGGCCATCCTGGGCAGCGACTTCGCCTTCAGCCAGGTCTTCCGCCTTGAGCCGGACAAGGGGCTCCTGGAGCCGCTGCAGGAGCTGGGGCCCCCTGCCTTGGTGGCCCCCAGGGCCTTTGCCCAGGTCATCCTGTCCGGCAGACGCTTCCTCTTCGCTGCTTGTTTCAAGGGCCCCACACAGATCTACCAGCACCACGAGATAGATCTCAGTGCCTGAGGCCCGAGGGCCCCTGGACGCGACTGGGGCGCCGGCGTGGGGACGCTCGGGGTTTCTGGAAGCCACGGGCAGCGCTCATCAACCACGGGCCCACCTAGCGGAGGCTGTGGGCGCGCTGGGAGAAATGCAAAGCCCGAGCCTCGGAAGCAACGCCATGTGCTGGCGCCGGTCCCCGCCACGGGTGTCTTGGGGGCCCGGGCTGCGGCACCGCAGTCAAGGCTGGCGGGGAATGTGCAGAGCTCCACGCAGCCCGGAATCCGGGCACCCCTCCCACCCGCACCGCTCCGGCTCCCCAGGCCGGCGCTAAAGAGCGGACTGCGCAACACAGTCCGGCCAATCGCTTTCAGGGAGGAGTGCCCGCCTTCGTGACGTCACAGTTGCTGGGCGGTTTTCCCTGCCGGGTTCGCTCACTCCCTCTGCCGCTTCTGCGCATGTCTGCTGCCGCCTGCAGAGGCTCGGCGTGGCTTCCCTTTTGCGCGTGCGCATCCGGGGGTCGGTGAAGATGGGCTAGGGGAGGTATGGGGGAAGCCGCGGGTACCTTGGCTCGGTGGGCGACCCGGGCAAGGACAGAAAGTGTATGACTCAATAAATGCGCCGCGCACCTGCCCCGCCCGTGGTTGTGGGGTCGCCGGGCCGGGAGGGGAGGAGGACCCGGGAGAGGCAGAAGGCGCTCCTGGTGAGCCCCCCGGGGTCGGCGGGGGCGTCGGGGGCTGCACGAGCTACGCGAGGGCGCGGCTAGGGGTGGAGCCGCGCAGAGCGTTGTGGGTTTCTTTCGGGGACCGTGTCCCAAGGCTGCGCGGGAGATATTTTTAGGTGTTTGGGAAGGATTTTCGGCGTTTTATTGGATGGCCCATGGGAACATGTTGGCGGCCTTATTGGGCACGGAGCGTCTGGGGGTGGGAAGCGTGAGGCTCAGTGGCGGCTCATGCGCCATGCGGCCGCCGTGTGTTTCCGGGGATATCAGGGAGTGCTGTGAGGGTGTTTGGAAGGGTTTCATAGCATGGTGCAGTCTCAGGGGTGAGTGACGGGCGGCGCCAGGGGCTGCTCTCTGTGTACCCCCATCACAGGAGGGTGACGTCCCCCGGATGGCCGCGTGTCTGTCCACCTGTGTGTCCTGCGTTCCGTGTGCCAGGCCCTCATTCGCTTGCACAGGTGTTCCCCACTTGGCTACTGGAAAATCTTAAGTGGCATACAAAGCTCCCACGGCCGGGAGACAGAGGGCGGACCCCAGCCCTGCGCCAAGCCACAGGGAGCAGGCCTGCTGGCTGTCCCCAGGGAAGCCATCCAGTGCTGCCCAGCCTCTCCCGAGCCCCCTCCAAAAGCCGACCGCGGTGCACACAGAGGCTGCTCGGGCACGAGGCACGGTTGTTTTAGGTTAGAAATGGAAGGAGGAGACCCCTGTCTTGAGAGGTGAGATGCAGCCCCTGCGGAGGGGGTGTTGTCTTTGTCCTGGGCAGCGCCAGCCCCGGGGGCAGAGACAGGCCCTCTGCAGCGATCCATCCTCAGCAGTCACGGGCAGAGCCTGGGAGAGTGAGGGGGTCCGTGGGTGAGGCTGCCTCAGATTCCTTCTCCTAGAGTCAGACATGCAGGTGCACACCCCTACCCCCACCCCGCCCCCAACTCCCCTGCTGCCTGGTGCCATCCCTGTCTTACCTGGGGCGATGAGAGGCGGGGCATCCCCTGGACGATGACTGGGGAAATAAAAACAGTGACATCAGGATCCGCCCCGGGGCCGGAGGAGTCAGCCTGCCCAGACCTGGCTGTTCCTGTGCGGGGCTGTCTGGTGCCAGGGGCTACGGGTGTCAGGCTAGGGGGCCCTCTGGGGGTGATCAGCCGTGAATAATCTGCCTGAGAAATCTTAGGGGCAGGAGTTGTCCAGGGCAGGCCTAGCTGCCTGTTCGTTCTGCGGATTTGGTTCTTGCACCCTGAAAAGCCTTGTGTCCAGCGTGAGACGGGCCGGCCGGGACCATCTTACCTGGGCTTCTGTCTGAATTTGCATTTGCATTTTCCACCTGTGTTTGCGGGAAGGACAGCTGAGTGGTCTGCGAAGGGGACCCGCAGCCCCGCCCCATCCAAAGCCCCGCCCACACGCGGCCCCGCCCACCTGTGGCCCCGCCCACACGTGGCCCCGCCCTCCGGTGGCCCTTCCCCACACGCAGCCCCGCCCCTCCTGTGACCCCGTCTCACCCACCTGCCGCCCCGCCCCACCTGCCGCCCCGCCCCGCCTGCGCCCGCCAGCCCCAGCACGCACTCATGAGGACAATGATGCCGATGGCACAGAGGATTCCGGCACAGATGAGCCCGCCGACCCGGAGACGGTGCCAGTCTAGGAGAAAAGGCGCAGGGACGGTGGGGGCCAGCCCGGGGCCTCCGCACACCCTCCGGCTACCTGACAGCTGTGTATCGGGCGCTGTGGGCGCGTGCATGCTGGCTGACACTCAGGGTCAGGTGGAGATTAGGGAGCTGACGAGAAAGAGCGTGGGTAGGGGTGAGAGAGAGCGGTGGGGGAGGCTCCTCCGCGACTGACAGAGACCGCAGAGGTGAGGCAGGGGAGCCATGTGGATGTGTGGAAGAAAGTGTTCCAGGCTCGGAGATCAGCAGGTGCAAAGGTCCTGAGGCTGGCAGTGCCTCCTCTGCATCGGAGGGACAGAGGGAGACGTGTGCGGCTGGAGCAGAAGGAACCAAGTGGGGGCTGGAGGTGAGGGCAGAGAGGGGAGCAGGGAACAGACCCACGGACCCCCGGGGGGCAGAGGGAGCAGGCCAGCCTCTTCCCAGCTGTTGATTAGATCCAAACAAGCTCACTTCCTGCCTGCGGCTGACTTGTTGGAATGGAATCTTCCGGAACACCAGCTTGCCAGCTCTTGTTCTGTTAATCCACTAGGTTTATTGCTCAACGCCTAATCCCAGCCCCTTCCTGGCCTGGCCCCTGCATCCCCCACGTCAGACCTTCAGCCAGCACAGGGGGTCGGGGTGGGGGGCCTTGGCACAAAGCAGCAAGTGGAGGCTGCGAGGCTCACTCACCGTAGTAGAAAGGACTGTTTTTGTCTGCAGGGAAAGAAAACAGGACATGTGTCACTCAGGAGGGCAGCCAGGAGGCGGCGTGCCAGGGGGAGCTGGGGGCTGCACAGGTAGAGGGACCGGTCTGGCTCACCTTCAGGGTCATTGGCGTCCAGGGCAGGCAGGCCTGGCGGGAACAAGCAGGGAGGGGCAGGTGACCAAGCTGGCCTCAGCGAGTCCCTCCAGGGCTCAGGAGAGTCCCCTCGGGGACAGTGCGCTCCCCCACCCCACCCCCGCCCATCCTGGAGCCGCAGGGGGCCCGCTCAGACCACCATGGGGAGAGGGACTCACCCACTCCACCCCACGCCTTCTCCTCTTGCCGGGCAATCTACATTTCTAACCCCGGTGGGTTCTGGCCACCCTGTGGTCCCTGTCTGTGCTCGCTACAGAAGCCTGGATTTTTCCCAGGACCCTGTCTGCCCACAGCCCGTGCCCTGCACAGCCAGCCCCAGGATCCCGCCATGCCCAGCCCCCACCCGCAGCTCTGGGTCTCCTTTCCCCTGGAAAGTGACTCACTGCTGCCAGCTTCCCTGCGCTTTATCTAAAAATGCAGCTTCGCCTTGGCACCCTGGATGGAGTGCATTGAGAGAAAGACCAGGAGGGGCCTGCGCTGCGGCCGGCACCCCGGGTTCTAGTCCTGGTTGGGGCGCTGGATTCTGTCCCAGTTGCTCCTCTTCCAGGCCAGCTCTCTGCTGTGGCCTGGGAAGGCAGTGGAGGATGGCCCAAGTGCTTGGGCCCTGCACCCGCATGGGAGACCAGGAGGAAGCACCTGGCTCCTGGCTTCAGATCGGCGCAGTGCGCCGGCAGTAGCAGCCATCTGGGGGTAACCAATGGAAGGAAGACCTTTCTCTCTGTCTTTCCCTCTAACTCTGCCTGTCAAAAAAAAAAAAAAAAAAAAAAAAAAAAAAAAGAAAAGGCCAGGAGGGACCGGGATTAAACTCTGGCTGGGAGCTGGCGGCTGCCTTAGCTGTGGCCTGAACTCTATTAGCAGGAGATTAATACTTTTTAATTACATTTAAAGCACAAACTTTGTGCCAGGCGCTGTTCCGAGGGCTTTTCAAATATTAACTCACTCAACCCTCACAATGGCACTTGGAGTAGGTGCTGTGATGGGCTTGTTTACAGCTGGGGAAACTGAGGCACGACTCTCACTGCATAGTCACCAGGCTCCCAGCTACCTCTCGGAAGACCATGGGGCTTCTCCTTGATGTCCTCGAAGAGTGACAAGACCATGAAAGACAGTGCTTGTCTAGTCATGGCTGCCAGTGGCCCTGTCCCTGTGTGTTTGTTCAAACCACCAAGGCGCCACTTCTCTCCCTGGGGGAGATGCCACCACCCAGCGGGGGTGGGGGTGGGGGTCCGGTGGAGGGGGAAAGGTCATTTGGGGGCAGGCACTCACTCACCTGCCAGGAGCAGGAGCAGGCTCAGGGCCACCTCTTGCATGTCGGAGCGCTGGCCCTAGAGGGGTCCAAGGGCCACGTGCAGCTTCAGCGGGGCCACCAGGATGCTGGCCCCACGCCGCAGTCCCCATCAATCTCTTCCCCTGCCCCCGCCAGGACGTACAGCCCAGGGCACACACAGCAAGGTGACATTCAGACTCGCTGGGCCGGGCGACAAGGAGCCCCGGTGCTGGGTGAGAACTGAGGCAGAGGGGAGCGGCTATCCTGACCCCCCTGGACATGAACCGGCTTTAGGTGGGTCACCCCAGCAGCCCAATGCCAGAGGCCTTGCCAGCTGCTGTCCCCACCTGCCCTTCTGAGACTCTGGGAGGTTGAAAGTCAGTGCCCTGGGTCCCCCACTTGGCCAGGAAGCCAGAGGTAAACGAGGCCTGGCTCCCCAGTGTCAGGGCCTCGGGGTGCTTTGGGAAACAGGGTGCTGGGAGCCAGGTGGCAGGGGGCCCGGCTCGGGGAGTGTCCCACAGACAGCTTGGAGCCTGCCTTGCTCTGCCCAGGCTTTGTAAGCTTCCAGATGGGGACTGAGCTGGCTCCCCAGGCTGCTCCCTTGGGGAGTGTGTGGGGAGGAGAGAGCTGGAGGCGGGGTGCAGGACTGGTGGCTCAGGCTCTGCCCGCCCTCCCCCAGCCCCAGCCAGCCCCAGGCCCTGCCAAGCCCCTCCCAGCAGCAAACAGCCCCGCCCTCCCCAGGCAGGCCTGTCCAGAAACAGTTCTCCGGGCCCCTTCCTGCCTCCCACCACCCTGGAAACCCCTCCCTAAGCCCCCTGGCACTTCCATCCCCTGCCCACTCCCTGCCCCCTGCCCGACTGCCATGAGCGTCTTATGGCAGTGAACTTGGTGGCAAGAGCTGGCCCCGCTCACCTGTGCTGGACACTGCCCCCTGCCCTCGCTGCGCCTTCACTCATCACTCGCCCGAGGCCACCCATTCTGTCCCCATCTCACTGGCGCCCAGTGGGACTTGGGCCCAGAGCGGGGCTGCCGGGGTCCACACCAACGGTGCAGGTGTTTCCCGCATGTCCCCACGGACCACATCCCCACATCCACCCTCTGGCCTGGAGGTCACCGCTGACCCCAGGTGCTGGCCTCATTTGAGTCCGAGCATCCATGTCCCGCAGGAAGCTTTGGGAAGCGTTCCCAAGGTGTTTAGGGCTCCAGAAAGCTTTGGGGAGAGCGGGAGTGAGCAGATGGTTGGGACAGCCCAGGTCCGCAGCTCCCCTCCCCCAACCCCAGGCTTTGCTACCCCGTGAGGATTCTAGTCCTGGTAGTGAGAGCTACTGATTGCTGGGGCTCCCCCACGCTGGGCGGTGAGCTCAGCGCCTGACGCCTGTTCACTCGCCATCTTCCATTGCAGCCGATGTCACATGCGCCGCCACCTTGTGCCCCCTCGCTCTCACCCCTTATGCCTCTTTCCACGGACTCTCCAGCCACCTGAGGCCCCATGACATCACCCAGCATCCCCCTCCCAGGGCACTGATGGACGGGACCAACTGTTGCCCAGCCTCTGCCCAAGTCTCCGACCGCCCAGCGGGTTGGCTGGAGGCTGCTGGGAGCTGAATGGGCGCCCTCGCTGCCCGCTTCGGGCTGTGGGCTGCTGGAGAGGCCCCGGGCTGCTGACCACACTGTGGGCAGATGTGGAGACGGAGGGCACGGCTGCAGCTGGCACGGAGGCCCCAGTGCCAAACAGAGGACAGCTTCCGCCCCCCACCCTCTGCCGTGCCCTGTCCTTCCACGTGGGTGGGGCCTGGGCGGTCTTCAGGGCCTGTGCCCTGGAGTCTCCTAACCAACCCCCGCTTCACAGCTTCCCCAAGCCGGACCCTAGGGGCCAGGACCCAGGGGGCCCCAAGTCTGAGGCACCCTGAGACCATGCAGTGACCACTACTCCGTCACCCCATACCCCAGTCCACCCAGACAGCCCTGGTCTCTTAGATGCCTTCATCTACTTGGGGACCCTCCCCACGCTGCCTCTGGCCTGTTCAGACATCAGCCGTGTCTCCAGACACCCCAACCCCAAGAAGGGGCCCTCCCCTCCCCCCAGCTGGCCCAGCCCTCCTGGGAAAGATGGGGGAGGTCGTGGGAGGGGAGGGAGGAGGAGGGGGCTTTCACAGCAGAGCTTCTGTGTGGCAGGGCGGTGGGGGTCACAGGCAGGGGGAGCCGGGGGGCTTTGGAGGAGGGGCCGGCCACTCACCTGTGGGCTCACCAGGCTGAGCGAGGTTTCGGGGGGAAGCAGGCACTGCCAGGCAGACTCCTGCCTTTATCCACAGCTGCCACGCCCTAGGCAAACCTAGGCAGGTAGAGAACAAGTCCGGCTCCTTTGGCTCCGGGGGCTCCCCCACCCCATTCCTGCTCTTAAAGAGACAGCTCTACCCCTCCCAGGGCCACCAGCAGTAAGGGAGCTCCCGGGGGTCCTGGAGACCACGGTGGCCTCAGGTGAGATGGGGGGAGTGGGCTGGGCAGGAACTCAGTCCCTCTAGGGGATAAGGCCTTCTCCAGCCTTGGAAGGAGCTCGGAGCTCAGAGCAGGACCGTATGGGGGAAGGTTCTGGGGTCTTCCTGGTCAGGCAAGGAATAAGGTGCCGTGGTGAGGACCTAGGGTAGGGCCAGCTGGCCTGGGGTCATGGGTTTGACGTTCAGCAGAGGCCTTGGGGGGTGTGGGAACGGGCACGGGGGGCCTCTGGGGTACAGAGCTGAGGGGGATGTGCAACCTTAGATCCAGCCACACCCCCACTGTGCATGGGCCCCAGGAGCCCTCCCCCCCGAATTTCCTAGGGAGCCAGATGCCTACATTTCTGGAGTGGACCCTGGGCTGGAGGTGGGGTGCGTCCTCCATATCAGGCCCCCGCCTGTCCCCCTCCCTTCCTCTCCTCCTCCTCTCTGGCATTCCTTCCGGCTGGGGTCTGTGCAGGCCCCCACATGTCCCAGTTGGGGGTACCCCTCCCCCCAATTCCGCTGTCTTACACAGAGGGACTTTTGTCTGGGGGCTGGATGGAGAACAAGGCGCCTTTGAGTGGCTGGCGGAGGATTGGGGTCACGGGGAGGGGCAGGGCCAGGGAAGGGGTGGCTCTGCTCTGGCCACCAGCTGGACTCCGGGCGACCCCCAACACCACTGTGGGGGTGGGGAGGAGGCCAGGCCAGGCCAGGGAGAGGGCGCTGCTGGGAGTGTGGAGTGCACATGGGTGTTGGGGACTGGCCGGCTGGGGCAGAGAGAAGAAAGGCTGACTGGCTTCCTATTACATAGCACCCTTGGCCTCCTCCCACCTGTACTGAGGTGGGGTCAGGCCCCGCGGGCACCCAGAGTGGAGCTCAAAGCAGGAGGCCTGGGGGATATAAACAGCAGAGGAGGCTGGAGGCAGGGAGACAGTCCCAGTCCAGCCCACTGGGCTTTGTGTCTGGGCACAGCTTGTGTTTCCCAGAGGTTTCAGGACTATCACCCCCACCAAAGACCCGTGGGTGGTCTTGGGCGTGGAGTGGTGTCTCCCTCTGCTGGGAAGTCTTGGACCTGCAGGCACCCCAGGCGGATGTGGCCCTGTGGGCAGTGTGTCTTGGAGTGCGGATGCCGGTCTTTGTTCAGTGCAAAGTCTGCGAGGTCAGGGGCCAGAGGGGTCAAGCAAGAGTTGTGGATGCATGAGCAGGACAGGTGGGAGACCGTAAGAGGTGGCGGCAACTGGACAAACCAAAGAACTACGGTCCCGTCCCCAGGAGAGGCTCGAGCCTGCGGATAGATAGACAGACACCTCGCTAAGGTGAGGAAACGCAGAGTGTGCCACCATTTGTGTGATGGTGACGACAGTGTCTGCACGAATGCTCGCGTATGAGCCACGTGTCCTTGGAGCTTGGCATCTGTGGCTACCTCTGGCCAGGGGACCTGGGAGGCAGAGGAGGGGGTAGAAGTGAGATTCAGTCACCTTTGACCTTGGTACATTTTGATTTTTATATTCTGAAAATGCACTATCTTTTTATTTTTAAAAAACGATTCTCCTTCTGCTTTCATCTACAGAGAAAGAAAGAGATTTTCCATCCACTGCTTCACTCCCCAAATGCCCTCAAAGCCAGGGCTGCGCCAGGCTGAGGCCAGGAGCCCAGAACTCCACCCACGTGGGTGGCAGTGTAGTAAGCACCTGAGCCGGCATCATTGCAAAGGGGCCTGAACAGAGAGATGGGGCTGGGGCCCAGGCACTCCGAGCAGCAGCTGCAACGCTTGCCCCATACTGCCTTTCAAAAAGACCTTAAGGGGCCGGTGCTGTGTAGGTTAAGACGCCACCTGCAGTGCCAGCATCCCATATGGACACCGGTTCCAGTCCCGGCTGCTCCACTTCCAGTCCAGCTCTCTGCTATGGCCTGGGAAAGCAGTAGAAGATGGCCCAGGTCCTTGGGCCCCTGCACCTGCATGGGAGACCCGGAAGAAACTCCTGGCTCCTGGCTTCGGATTGGCTCAGCTCCTGCCATTGTAGCCTTCTGGGGAGTGAACCAGTGGATGGAAGACTACTATCTCTCTCTCTGCCTCTCCTCTCTCTGTATAACTCTGACTTTCAAATAAAATAAATAAATCTTAAAAAAAAAAAAAAAGCACACCCAGGGGCTGCCTTCAGCTGGGGGAGGGGAGGGCTGTCAGAGACTTCCGCAGCGGCTTTTCTGAATCTGGAATCACCAGGATCTTCCGTTCTTGCGCATGGGCATCTGCGGGGCTTCCTCAACCCGGAGATCCTCCCAGGCTGGCTGTCACTGTACTGCATTCAAGTGTGTGCTGGGCTGGGCTGGGCTGGGCTGGGCCCGGGGTGGACAGGCCTGCAGAGGCTGGCTAGGGCCTGCGGGGGGCGGACTGTGTGCACACTCCTGGGGGCTGGCAGTGAGTCTTGTGCGCTGCTTTGACTTTGGTCACCTTTAAAATGCATACATGTCCATGTTTAAAACGTATACAAGGGCCGGCGCCATGGCTCACTAGGCTAATCCTCCGCCTTGCGGCGCTGGCACCCCGGGTTCTAGTCCCGGTCGGGGCGCCGGATTCTGTCCCGGTTGCCCCTCTTCCAGGCCAGCTCTCTGCTGTGGCCAGGGAGTGCAGTGGAGGATGGCCCAAGTGCTTGGGCCCTGCACCCCATGGGAGACCAGGAGAAGCACCTGGCTCCTGGCTTTGGATCGGCGCAGCACGCCGGCCACGGTGGCCATTGGAGGGTGAACCAACAGAAGGAAGACCTTTCTCTCTGTCTCTCTCTCACTGTCTAACTCTGCCTGTCAAAAAAATATATATATGCAAGGGGTCATCAGCGTGTGGGAAGTGTGCCTGACATTTAAATTCCACTTCCCCCGGCAAGCTTTGTGGCACAGCGGGTGACGTCACCTGGAGCTCCGCGCTTGTCCCCAGCGCAAAATGTCAATCAGCCGAGACCTGAAAGAGGCACAGCGCTCTCAGGGTGTCCTGTGTCAGGTGGGGCCGACTCAGTCCCCAGCCCTGACACTCCTGCCCCTTTGACCTCAGCTACAGTGGAGACGACCCCAGTCGCCCTGACTGAGGAGCCAGCGGATTCCACAGCGGCAGCGGCTTCCTCCCCGCCGGTTTCTGGGGTTCACGGGCCGCAGTGTTGTTCCGCTGGAGCCGACACATCAGTCTGAGGCAGGCTCAGCGCTTTGCTTTGTGCATCCCAACAGGGAACGCGACAGAAAGGCATCTGAGGGGCGGTCACAGGCACTCCTCGGGCTGCCTGCGCCCCCTGTTGGAGTCCTGCCTCTGCCTCCAGTCCAGCTTGCCTGCTGGTGCGCACCCCAGGCCGCAGGTGACTCGGGTCCCTGCCACCCACGTGAGAGACCTGGATGGAGCTCCTGACTCCTGGCTTCAGCCTGGCCCAGCGCAGCCCCCGTTGCAAGCACTGGGGGCTGAACCAGCAGATGGAAGATCGCTCTCTGTCTCTCCTTTTCAAGAATAAACACATGAACTTTTTTTTTTCAAAATACAACATTAATGAATGCCATTTCCCACTAATTTTTTGAGGTACCCTCATCTACATGATACACAGTCATACGTCACGTTCTGGTCTGCTCATTATGCAAACACCATAGAGTGTGTCTTACACAAACTAAGACAGCTACGGTGTCACCAGGTAAGACAATCTGTGGGACCCCTGTCACGCCTCAGGTCTCTTGTTGACAAAATGTTAAGAGTTGCACAGCTGGGGCCAGCGCCGTGGTGTAGTGGGTAAAGCTGCAGCCTTTAGTGCTGGCATCCCATATGGGCGCCAGTTCGAGTCCCGGCTGCTCCACTTCCAATCCAGCTCCCTGTTAATGATCTGGGATAGCAGTAGAAGATGGCCCAAGGCCGTGGGCCCCTGCACCTGTGTGGGAGACCCAGAGGAAGCTCCTGGCTCCTGGCTTCGGATCGGCGCAGCTCCAGCAGTTTGGGGAGAGAACCAGCGGATGGAAGACCTCTCTCTCTCTATCTCTCCCTCTCTCTCTGTAACTCTGCCTTTCAAACAAATAAAAAAATCTTTTTAAAAAGAGTTGAACAGCTGCAGATTACACAGTTAATGAAAGTTTTTGAAATATCACACACACACACGCGCACACACACACACGCCCAGTTTTGCTTTTGAAATCATTTTTCCCCGGAGCGTGTGTTGAGGCTCTAACGGAGTGTGACTGCTCAACAGCCTGGAATTTTCGCCAAATGAGAGAAACCAACCAACCCTGCAGCTCACGGACATTGCAAGCTTCGCACGGCTTCCAGAGCTGCGGAATTCAAGCGCAACATCAAAGGCAGCCGTGCGGCGTGGCCGCTGAGTCACACCTTTATTACTTTGGGTTCCATGGTTTGACTGCCCTTCCGTGAAGGCTGGGCGCGCTCGAGGGGCCAGCCCGGGGCTGGGGGACAGCGGGCACGCCCCTCCGAGAGACGGCTTCTGGTTGGGCTGCAGCCCTGGCTTCCCAAGTGGAGACAGAGAGGCCGAGCTGGGCTGGGGGGCTGCGGTGGCGGCCGTGCTCCCAGGCGCCGCTTCTTGGACAGGACGGGGGCTGAGAGATGGGCAGACAGGTGCATGCGGCCGCCTGGGCTTCCGTGCAGCCGTTCCCTGTGGTCCCTGGGCTCAGCACCTGCGGGAGAAGAGCAGACACTGCAGGTGCCTCTGTCCAGTCGCTCTGTGACCTGGACAAGACAGCAAAGGACAGCCCAAGTGCTCGGGCTCCTGCCACCCATGTGGGAGACCCGGGTGGAGTTCCAGGCTCTTGGCTCAGCCCTGACCATTGCAGCCATTTGGGAAGTGAACCAGCAGATCAATCTTTTTTCTCTGCCACTTTGCCTTTCAAATAAATGAAATAAACCTTAAAAAGCACAAGTTAAAATGTGCTATATTTAAAAAAACACAGAGAATATAGAGGAAAGTAAATTTAGAATTTAGTAAGCTAAATGTTAAACACACTTAAGACATGACATTTCTATGTCTGTGTTCCATATTCTATATTATGTATTTTCTATATGTGAGAGGTCTTCAAAAATTCATGGAAAATCTGTATTATGAAAAAATCGTGCATGGATTTCAACATTTTTTCCACTAAATATAAATTTTGTATTCCATTTTCCATGAAAGATTTGGAGCCCCCTTGCCTGTGTTTTTCCCTTTTTGATAATGGGTTCACAGGCCACAGGCCAGGACCCCTTGGCGCCCAGCTCCGTCCCTTCCTAGCCGCGGTGACTTAACCGTGGCTTGGCCGGGAGGGGTTCTGGGCCGGCTGCAGAGGCAGGACGGGGAGTCTGCCGTCGTGAGAGCCTGGCTGGCACTCTCGCTGTGGCAAGGCACCGGCCACGTGGCCGCCAGCAGCAAGGCCCTTGGTCGCGCCCAGGAGTATGGTACGAGCCGGTCAGGCCACCCTCCACCCGCCTCCGTCACTCCCAGTCCTGGTACAGGGGCTGTGGGACTCACGTCTGCTGGGCAGGCCGTGTACCTCCAGCGCAGGTGCACAGGGCAAACATGGGTGTGTGTGTGGGGGGGTGTGACCAGACGACCCCAGGGCCCATACCACTCAGAGACCTCTGAAGTCGGGGAGGGATGAAACCTCAGAGAATGGTTCCAGAAGCACCCATTTCTCAGCCTGCCCCCACCGTGGCCCCACCTCCACCCTCCTGGGGGGCGGGGCAAGCTCCTTCTCTGCCCCCCACCTGGCTGCCCCTCAGACCAGATCATAGCCCAAGTCCTGCCCAGCCCCATGCCAGGTAAGCGACACCAGCTCTGGTCTCTGGGCGGCGGCGCCTCTCTGAGCTCATCTCCTCCCCCCTGCCTGCTCGCTCACTCGGCTCCAGCTGCGCCGGCCTCCCTGGGGTTTCTCAGATGCCACACACTGACCAGCCACGCCCAGCCCTCGCTGCCAGCTTTGCCCTCCCTCCTCCTCTTTCCTCTGGACCTTGCTTAAATGTCACCTCCTCCATGCAGCTTCCGGGGCCACTCAGCGCCAAGCCTCACGGTCCCACACTCACCCCTGCCCTGCACGGTCTCACGCTCCCCTTAATCCCCCAGCCCCTCCCTACCCAGCTGCAGTACATGGAGGGTCTCTCAAGACTCGTGCCCTGGCGGCAGCTCCTGGAGACAGGGCCCTTGGAAGTACTATTGAGCGAAGGAACGAAAACCTGATCTCCCAGGTTCCATGACAGGTGAGTCAGCACCCACCCTCCTGCAGTCAGTCACAGCTTTGGGAGCACACAGTAGGCCCACAGGTGGAAAAGGAAGGAACTCACAGCCTGGATTCAAATCCCAGCTCCGGGGCCAGCACTGTGGCGTGGCGGGTAAAGCCGCCGCCTGCAGTGCCAGCATCCCATATGGGCGCCGGTTCTAGTCCCGGCTGCTCCGCTTCTGATCCAGCTCCCTGCTATGGCCTGGGAAAAAGCAGTAAAGATGGCCCAAGTGTTTGGACCCTTGCACCCAGGTGGGAGACCTGGATGAAGCTCCTGGCTCCTGGCTTCAGCCTGGACCAGTGCTGGCCATTGGAGCCATCTGGGGAGTGGACCAGCGATGGAAGACCCCTCTCTCTCTCTCTCTCTGTTATCCTACTTTCAAAGTAAATCAACAAATCTTCCAACCTCACTGCACCGCTTCCTCACGGGGTGACCTCGGGCAAGCAAGTCTCCCCTTCCTAAGCCTCAGTTTCCACATCTGCATGGTGGGGAGCCCAGCTGCCTCCCCCCCTGCGGGCTGCCCTTTGCTTTCAATGGGGCTGTTGTGCGGAGGCGGATGGCATGACTAATCCCGACAGACAGACAGCGCTCCCTTCCTGGAAGGGGGCGGGCGGAGGGTGTGGCTGTGCGTTTTCCCACAGCCAACAATGGGCCCGCTGTAGGCAGGGGCCCACAGGCAGGGGAGGGGGGGGCGTTGGGGGGACACGCCCACCCTGTGGGTCCCAGACAAAGGCTCAGGTCCCAGAGGGGCGTCCACTGAGCCCAGACGGTCTTTGAAGATGACGGCAACAGGAAATTCTGGTGGGGGGTATTTGTGCACTCTGCAGTAGGTTCCCGTTTCAGCCTGTCTCCCTGCACCAAGCAGCAAACAGCCATGAGTTCTCCCGGGCCCTGTAACTCCCGAGCTAGGATCACATAGAGTTAAGACAATCTCTGGGCCACATGATTGGCTCAGCAGGGCCCCATAAAGTGAAGGGCAGAGCGGCCGGCACTGCGGTGCGCAGGTAAAAGCCACCGCCCGAGAGCAGGCATCCCGTATGGCCACTGGTTCGTGTCCCGGCTACTCCGCTTCCCATCCAGCTCCCTGCTAACGTGCCTGGGAAAGCAGCAGAAGATGGCCCAAGTGCTTGGGCCCCTGCACCCACGTGGGAGACCCAGAAGAAGCTCCTGGCTTCAGCTTGGTAGAGTCCTGGCTGTTGCCCCTTCCCCATCCCCCCTCCCGCCCCATGTCTTCCCTTCTGATTGCGACCCTTGGCGCAGAACAGGGCACAACCTCCCCCAGACTCCTTGCAAATTTTATGCAGTTGTTGGGAGTAAGAAGATATTTGGATTTTGTATTAGGCAACGGGGAATTCATATTCTGAGGCCTGAAAATGCTGAAGTCATTTTGCTACCACAGGAAAAAGCCAGCCCGAGGACAAAGCTGATACTACAGAGCGCCACACACCAGAAGAGTACTGGGAAACAGAGTTAGCACCCTGATCAAACCATGCCTGATAGCCCTCTGGAATTTTCAGTTATGTATGTGCGCTCACCAGGAGACAGCATGTGGTTTTTATGTGGTTGGAGCCCTTGCATTTCTCTTTAGTGTACAGTCCAAGATGCAAACAAGGGCTTACCTCTGTCTGCAGACAAGTGTGGGTCCCGTTAGCCTTGAAAGACAGCTTTGAAATAAACACAGTGGGGCTGCCCGGACTGTTCCTGCCAAGTTCCACTTGGAGAAAGCGCTGTGGGCAGGAGGCAGCACAGGACGCGGCAAAACCGGAAGTGCCTGGGCACTGGGTGGTCCTCCCATCTGCTGTGGTGATGCCCGAGTGCCCGGCTGCATGGTAGGCACCAGGGGACAGCGGGTGGCACCCGAAGATGCCCCCGCGGTTCCCACATCTCTGCCCAGGCCCGCAGGAGGCAGGGGAGCACTGCACGGCGTGGCTGGAAGCCTCGCAGCGGCAGAAGCGCTCACAGCGCTCCCCAGCCCAGAAGGCCTCCCCGGCCGGGTGGTACCGGCCGCCCGCGGAGCAGCCGCACTGGCTGGGAGACACGCAGTCGGTGCCGCTGAGCACGAAGCCGGCGTCGCACTGGCAGCCCTCCTGGCACGGCGTGGGGCAGCTGTCGGGCAGGGCGGGCTCCGCGCAGGAGCTGGGGCAGGAGGAGCCGCAGAGCTCGTAGTGGCTGTGGGGCGGGCAGGCCGGCTCTGGAGGGACACAGATGGAGGTTAGGGGACTGAGGCGAGTGACCGCTCTGGGGCGCTGCCACCAGCACAGGGCCGGGGCAGCAAGGGGAGGGCAAAGGACAGGTGGTAAGTGTGCAAGTGGAGGCGTCACTAGGAGGTGAGGAGGGTGATGGTGGTGATGGTAGTTGTGACAGTGGTGGGGTGATGATGGTGATGGTGGTGGCAATGGTTATGGTGATGGTGGTGATGGTGGTGATGGTGGTGATGGTGGGGATGGTGGTGGGGATGGTGGTGGTGGTGCTGATGGTAGTGGTGTTGTTGGTGGTGGTGACGGGGATTCTGGTGGTGATGGTGTTGGTGGTGATGGTGATGATGGTGGTGGTGGTGGTGGTGGTGGTGATGGTGATGGGGGTGGTGGTGATGGTGGTGGTGGTGGTGCTGATGGTAGTGGTGTTGGTGGTGACAGGGATGATGGTGGTGGTGATGGTGAAGGTGATGGTGGTGATGGGAATTCTGGTGGTGATGGTGTTGGTGGTGATGGTGATGATGGTGGTGATGGTGGTGGTGGTGATGTTGGTGGTGTGATGACAGGGATGATGGTGGTGGTAGTGGTGGTGCTGATGGTGATGGTCATGGAGTAATGAGTCTGAGATGACATTTCTGAACACTGACTGCATCCTGGCCTCTTCTTGGTGGTCTCCGGCGTGTTCTCTCGTGTAATTCTAAATATTTCCCTCCTGACGTCACCAGAGAAAATACCCTCTGGAAACTGCAAGATCACCTCGTTTACCACTGAGAAGTGCTGCCCATGCCCGAGCAGTTCCCGGGAGCTTGCTCTTATCATTGCTCTGCTTGTTCACCACCCCACGAATAAGGACTCGCGTCTCCTGCTTTCTCCTACAGACGAGGAACAGACCCCGAGAGCCTGGCTGACTGCCGGACCCCCCAGTTCCACATCACAGAGCCGAGGGTAGCAACAAGGCCCCTGGGCTCACAAGCGCCCAGAAGCAGCAGCCCCCACAGGTGAGACCCGCGTACTCCACCCAGTTGCCCGCCTGGCCTGCTGGCACATGGGCTTAGGACCCGGGAAGTGCAATAAGAACCTGCACGGTGCCGGGAGAGAGAAGCGCGCACTTGGGGATCCAGGGTAGAGGCTGAAGGGGAGCGGCGGGCGGGGCGGGAGCAAGCCCATCCACACGAGGGTGCCAGCCAGCGTTCAGCTAAAGAGGCTGCCCCTCCCCAAGGCGGCGGGGGCAGGGGAGGCTGCCGCATCCTGGTTCCTGCACAAACTACTCCACCTCCCACACCCCAGGGTCCCCATCTGCGAAGTAGAAGCTATCACAGCAGGGCCCTGGGCCCCTGGTTCTGCACCTCCCCCCACCCTGCCCCAGAGCCGGTCGGTCCGCACGGTAGAGCCCCACGTGCAGGCCGAGGGGACCCTGAGCAGCAACACCGTGGGGGGGGGCTTCCAGGCGGAGCACTGAAGAGCGAGGGAGCACCTGCTACTGGGCGGCGGCGTGAACCTGCACGCTGCCCTGGGGATACTGGGAGTCATTGGTTAAACGGGCAGGGTGGCAGCAGGTCCCGCAGTGCGCGGCTCAGCGTGTGGGGCACTGACCCAGGAGGACAGCCTGAAGGTGGTATTGGGCCAGCTGGGGCAATGAGGCTGAGTGAGACCCTCCCCTACCCCGGGGACACTGGCTCACCGCAGGCCACGAGATGTCTCCAGGGCTGCAGCGGGAGGCCCCGGCGCTGGCATTCCTGGGCGTAGCTCCCCAGCACGGCACACAGCGTGTCCCTCGAGCCCCCTGTGGCACAGAGGTCGTGGACGCAGTTCTCCACGTGGACCCGAGGATCCATGTCCCGGCTGCAGGCCGCGTAGGGCCCCTCCTGGGCGCCCAGCAGCCCGCAGAAGGCCCAGAACAGGGCCGCCTTGTCCTGCGGGCACAGGGGACCTAGGCCTGTGGCTACGTTGGGGGCTTCGGGGAGCCGCGAGCCGCTGGGGCCCCCCAGGTCCTCCCATGTGTCCGTGCCGAGGGCCACGCCCAGGCCGCAGAGGGCGCTTGCGTAGGTGTCAGGCACCGTCACCCACAGGGCCCGGGACTCGTGAAAGGCCACAGAGAGGCCGGTGGCCGCCCGCACGGTGACGGCCGAGGACGTGGAGAAGGCGCGGATCATGCCCCCGGCCAGCGTCAGGGGCAGGTGGGCCTGGGACCCGTTCACCTGGAACACAGAAGCGCAGGCTGTGGGGCTGCCCGGCCCGCACGCCAGCCCTGCCCGGCCCTGCTTTTCTGGCACCACGATTCCCTCCCCACGTGTGCCTCCACGAGTCCTTTCAGAACCGCAAACCGGATCTTGTGCCTCTCTTGCTCAGACCCTTGCATGGCTCCCCCGTGCACTCAGTCCAAACCCAGACTCCTCTCCACAGCTGTGCAGACCCACAGGGCTGGCCTCAGCACCCCTCCCTCACCACCCCCCACCCGCTCTGGACCAGCTGCACCGGCCCGGGTGGTTCCTCCCACACAGCAGGTGCTGGTCTGGCCCCAGGCCCTTTGCATGTGCTGTGCCCTCTGCACGCTCCCGTGACCTCACACTGCCTCTCCCGCCTCACACAGCGACACCCTCGCTGCCCTCTGTCGCTCCCTCCCTGCTTTCTTTCCTCCAGAACAAACTACAGCCTTTGGGGAAACCAGAGTTTGCTTGCGTCTTGTATCATCTTCCTCCCAGACATTCTGGGCCATTTTAAACAAAGGAAAGCCCCCAGGCCCTTGGAGAACTCACGTTTGGTCACAAGGAAGACAGACAAGAAACCAAGAAGTGACTCACAGGAAAGGGGATTGAAAATACTGGCAAGTACTTGGAAGGAAAGAACACGGGCGGTCAGAACAGGGACTGGGAGGGGTGGTCAGGGAGGGCTTCTTGGAGGAAGAGACAATTGAGCAGAGACGTGAGGGATGACGATGTGTCAGTTACGAGAGGACCCCAAGGAAGAGTGTTCCAGGCAGTGGGAACAGGCAGTGAAAAGGCCCTGAGGTAGGCGCCTGCCTGGGCTGTTGGAGGAACATCAGGGAGGTCGGGGTGGCTGGAGCAGGGTGAGAGGGGGCCAATGGCAGAGGGTGACACAGGCTGGCCTTGCAGGGTCGCGTAGGCCACGGGAGGCTTTGACCTGACCCACTGTCTACCTCTGTCCTGCCTGCCGGGGATGGGGGTGACGGCCTCTGCGGGAACCGTTCTACTTCCTGATCAAACGCTTCCCTGCTCCCACGGACGCCTTGCCCCAGGCAAGCTCCGCCTCTTCGTCCTCACACGGCCCACGTCGCCCGTTTTCCAGGTGGGAAAACTGAGGCACGGAGACACAAAGCCATGGGCCAAGGTGGGCAGCCAGCAAATGGCAGAGGACTCGAAGCCGGGCTCCCAGGACCAGCACCACGCAATGTGAGTGTTCCCCACGCCACCTGCATAGGGTCCGCGGAGCACCCAGGTGGGCCGGCGCCTGCCTGCCCCCTATAAGGGCCGGCGCAGGCGGCCAGGTGCAGGCCACGCCCCCTCCCCAGGCCCCCAAGTGCAGGCCACGCCCCCATACGCAGGCCGGCGAGGACGGGGAGACCCGCTGCTACACTGCCGAAGGCAGGACGCTCTGTCCTGCCCAGACACCACACCTGCCGGACCCCCGGAGGCCAGGGGCGAGTCCAGAGGTTTGTACCCATGGGCGTTCCCAGCCAGGCGACGCCTGTGTCTTCCAGGCCCGGCTGCGGCCCCGCAGGTGTCGCGCACTCCTCCCCTCCCCCCACAGCGGCGTCTCGACATGTCGCACTGGCCGCATGAGCAAGGGTCTGGGCACAGCCGTGTGAGCCCGGCAGCAGCTCCGCCCTCTGGGAGCGTGGTGCCGAAGAGGGTGGGGTGGGGGCCCAGGCTCCAGCCGGGCATCTCCCAGAGGTCCCTGGATTCAGCAGGGTGCGCAGCCGGTGTGCTCGGGGAGCACCTCCTCAGCTGTTCCTCCCTCTCACCGAGAGCTAGACCCAGGGCCAGAGCAGGGGGACGCTCACCTGGACCACCCCGAACTGTCCCGCCAGCAGCGACAGCCGCCATCCGGCCACGTCCACGTCCACCTGCTGGGCCCAGGAGGCACCCCAGGGCTCCAGGCGTGCCACCTCCACCCAGACGGCGAAAGGGGTGTGGTGCGGTCTGCACGTTCTGACCAGCGCCCCCCGGCCGGGCCCTCGAAGCTGCCGGTGGGAGCCACTGAGGGTGTGCAGGTGGGGGTCTCCGTAGAGCCACAGGGTCCCGTAGCGCATGGGGTGGCAGCCCCAGACGCCCTGACGCTGACGGCACCGCTCCCGGCGCCGGCAGGCGTGAGGGCGGCACTCGAGCGGGCGCCCGGGCCCCCGGCACACGCACTTCCGGTCACAGGTGGCCGTGGGCAGCACCTCAGCGCCCAGACGGAGGTAGCGGCCCTGCAGGTGGCAGCCGCAGCGAGCGAGCGGCACGCAGACCCCGCCCTCCAGCGCGAAGCCCTCCAGGCAGAAGCAGCCGGCTGTGCACTGGCGGGTGCAAGGCGCGGAGGAGTTGAGGCTGGCGCAGGTGGCCGGGCATGGCGGCCCGCAGAAGTCGTAGTAGCTGTTGGCTGGACACGCCACACCTGTGGGAGGGGAAAGATGGACTGGGGGCACCACCCCACAAGCCTGGCTCCCTCCATCTGAGAGAGCGCGGCTAGGGAGCCACGGGAAACAAAGGGACCACAGACCAGGTACTTCCCATATCACGTCCACAGGCCATTTAACCCCGGGGCACCAGACAAGCCATCGGGACAGCCAGGTTCAAGGGCAGGGAGGTGGGGTGACAGAAGGGCCGAGGGGAGCCCTGACTCTGGTCGGAGGCCTGGCTTGGGTCTCCTGGGGCAGGCGACATCCCAGCCAGCCAAGGGGCGAGGTCGCCATCCCAGCGGCCGGGGGTGAGGGGCCACCTACTGCACCCCAGGCTGGTGCGCCACTCCGGCAGGCGGACGCCCCGCAGGCCGCAGAGCTGCGCGTAGGACTCCAGGGCGGCGCACAGCACACGGTTGCCCGAGCCGTACTGGCAGAGGTCGAAGATGCAGGCGTGCAGGTAGGACCCAGGGTCCTCGTGCCAGTGGCACTCGGCAAAGGGCCCGGAGCGGTTCGTGAGGACGCCGCAGAGCTGCTCCACTCGGGGCCTGTCCTGGCAGGGCTGCGTGTCCCCCAAGTCCTGCCGGCAGCTGAGGGAACACGGGGTCTCAGCGCAGCCGCACGTCTCCTGCCTCCTGCCGGGCCAGCCCCTGCCAGGCCTCGGCCTCTGCCTCCTGCACCTGCTCAGCTCCTTGCCAGCCTCGGACAGTTCCTGGGCAGTTTTAGAAACTTGGAAGGCGGGCTGGCGCTGTGGCGTAGAAGGTAAAGCCGCCGCCTGCAGTGCCGGCATCCCATATGGGCACCGGTTCAAGTCCCGGCTGCTCCACCTCTGATCCAGCTCTCTGCTATGGCCTGGGAAGGCAGTAGAAGATGGCCCAAGTCCCTGGGCCCCTGCACCTGCATGGGAGACCAGGAAGAAGCTCCTGGCTCCTGGCTTTGGATTGGCTCAGCTCCGGCCGTTGTGGCCATTTGGGGAGTGAACCAGTGGATCAAAGGCCCTAGCAACAGAGGATTCTCAGCACCCAGTGGCCACTCATTAGCTCACAGATTCTGGGATCGGCCTTGCTGTTCGAACGTCCACTCTGTCCCTTGAACGAGTCTCCAAATCTATGTCACAAGCCCAGGGCACACGGAGCACGGACACGTGGCTGGGAGGCCAAGGAGCCACAGCTATGCGAGCTCAGCACGTGTAGGATTAGAGCGTGGAGAGCAGGGCGGCTGCAGTGGACGTCACAGCACTGGAGTCCCAGCGACTTCTGAGACGAGGGACGGGGAGCATTTAGGATCCGGGTCTCTGTGGCCAGGGTGCCTGGGTTCAAGTCCACACTCCACCACTCCCGACTTTAGGACTCCCTCTGTGCCTCCGTTTCCCCCATTTGAACCCCACGTCTGCAGCCAGGGCCCCCCCCCCATGGCCCCGCATGGCCACTCACCCAGGCTGGCTGTCCCGGGTCTGCCAGGCGTTGCCGAAGTCCGCGTCACTGCGGGCGGGCGCCCCGCTCGGGAGCACCTTGTCGTCGCCGGGGTCGCCGTTGAAGTTGCCGCAGAGGCCGCACAGGCGGCCCCGGTGCTCAGGCCCCACCCGCACCAGCAGCGTGTGGCGGCCGTTGAAGTGCACCTGCAGCCCGGTGCCCACCTGCAGGAGCACCAGGCCCTGCTGCCGCCACACGCGGGCCTCGGCACCCAGCTGCACTGGGAGGCTCACCACCTGCCCGTCCACCTGGAGGCGAGAGGCGCTCGGGTCTGTCTCCTTCCCCACTGCCCATCGCACCCCATGCCAGCCAAACCCCTCTCTGGACCCTCACGTCTGGAGCTGCGCTGTACTCAGCCCCGCCCCGCCCCCCCCCCCGCCTCCTCTCCAGTGCGTCAGGGAGCTGCCCTCTCTCCCTCCCCGCATCTGCCCTCCTCAAGTCCCTTCCAGAATCCACCACACCTCCCCCGACCCACCATCCTCTGCCCGATTCTGGCCACTGTCACTTGCTGCCTGGATTGTCCCAGCAGCAACTTCCCCTAGGCTCCTGATGGTCTGTCCCCTAGTGCGGGACCAGTTAGCACCCGGGACCCACCAGGGACCCCTGAGCCCAGAACCACACCACCCCACCACTGAGACCCCACTTTGTGTGGAGTAAAAGCCCGAGTCCCCTGGCACAGCAGGCCCCAAGGGTCTGTGTCCCGCCAGCTCTCTGATCTCGCCTCCTCCTCCCCTCCTCTGGCTCACCCCGTTCCAGCCACACTGGCCGCTGGCCTCTGGGGCTCGCTCTTAAGAAGGGACAGGCCACCCCTGCATGCAGACCTGACACCCACTGTTCCCTCTGCCTGGCACACTCTTCCCTCACGAATCCCAAGACCTCTCCTTCCCTCTGCAGCTGTCTGGTCCAAAGCCACCTCCTCCGGGAAGTCTCTCCTGCTTGCCCCACTTAGCATCCACCCCATACACACATGCACCCCTGATTCCCCTGTCCTGTGCTGTTTTCCTAGGGTTTAAGAGGAGGTTGGATGAAGAGACAGTTGATGGAGGAACAGGTCGCTTGAGGAGTGGAGGGTGGAAGGGTGGGGGAGGGAGGGACCAGTGGACGGACGGAAAGGACAGGTGAAAATGGATTGATATGTGGGTGGGCGGATGGACCCACGGAGGGCTTAAGCGGATGAGGCTCAGAAGCGAACGGCCCTGGGTGGGGCTGAAGTTACCCTGCTGGCCTCACCTGGACTTGCTGGCCTCTCTCCAGGATCACGTGGGCCGTCAGTCCAGGGCTGCTGAGCCTCACCTCCACGCGGTACAAGAAGGACACGAGGTGGCTGCGGAAGTTCCTGTTGGAAGCCTCCACGCTGAAAGAGACGCCCCCGGGGACGGGCTCCGGGCCGCAGGAATGGACCAGGCGATAGGTGCAGGTGCCTTGGAAGTGGGTGATGGCCCCGTCGAAGGTGAAGTAATGGGGGTCTCCGGTGACCACGCAGGTGCCCAGCGGGCTCTGGCAGCCCAGCCGGCCGCCCCGCACGGCGCAGATCTCCCCGGCAGGGCAGCGGGCTGGGCTGCAGCGGAAGTGCCCAGGTGCGTCACAGCTGCACCGGCGGGTGCACCGGCTCATCCAGACCAGGTCTCCTACCTGGGGAGAGCGAGGCCAGATCAGCACCTACGGCCCCCAGGCCGGTCTGCGCAGGGCGTAGTGGGAGTCCCCTGCTGGGTGCCCAGCTCAGCCCGGGGCTGGGGCTGAGCGACAGGCATCCTGCAGCCTCAGTTTTCTCCTCCGCACAATGGGGCAATAAAGAGCTGTCTGGGGGTGCGTGTGACCTGCGTGTGAAGCCCTCAGTGCCAGGCTAGCCCACTGCGAGCAGGCTCCTGACATGGAAGCTGATATTCTGAGCGCCCAGAGAATACCATGGTGACATGGCAGTAAGTGATCAAAACCCAGTCACCAACGTGGTCATTGTTTGTCACTAAATAGTTAGCAGAAGGGCTAGTCCAGAGAGGCCATAACTAATCTCGTCATCATCATCACTATTTTAATATGCTTACATACAGGCAGGCAAATAGAAACACCCCAAATATGTTACTATTAATTATTATTAATTTATGATTATGCTTAATGATACACACACATAAAGTGCCCAGTGCATGTTAATTAGTATCTCTGTGGTAGTGGCATGGCACCTGACGTCTGATCAGGACTCTAATGCTGGCCATCAAACTGGATTCAAATGCTGTTGAATTCACAATAACACCAGCGATAATAAAAACATTTAGTATAGCATTTTGTATCTATTCATGCCAAATCATATTACCTGCTCTTATTATCATCATCAATGCATTTAGTTGAGGCCACGCAGTTAATAGGCACTGGATAATTAATAAGAACAATACTAGCAATGGTAAACGGCTGAGCACAGAGAACGGGCCTCGTAAATTGTGCCAGTATCACTGGGATCATTCGTAAGGAAGAGGCGACCCATTGCGCATGCCCAGAGCTGAATCCGCGTGTACCTGGACGGGGCGTCCTTCCCCGGCGTGGTCGGGGAGTCCCCTGACCCTGGCGCTGGCCCGGCCGCTGCTCACCTGGTACACGCGGCCGCCGTGCACGCAGCCACACTGCTCCGGGGTCACGCACTCGGCCCTGGCCCACAGGTGCGCGTCATCGCAGGCGCAGCCCTCCGTGCAGCCGGGGCGGCCGCCGAGCCTGTGCAGCGGCGCGGGGATGCAGAGCCGCGCCTGGCTGGGGTCCAGGCAGAGCTGGTAGCGGCTGTGCTGGGGACACTGGGGCGCTGAGCAGGGAGGAGAAAACGCGGGAAAGGAGGCGTCGGCTCCGCATGTCCTCGCTCGCCTCCCCCACCCAGTGCTTGGAACCCCAGCTCTGTCCCCAGGCAAGGTCCTGCTGCTTAATCTCCCTAGGGCCCAGTCTTCCTCCACCTGCTGTGTCTCTGTGGGCTCTGCCGTGCTGGCCTCAGACCTGTCTTAAGACTTAACCAGGGCCAGCGCTGTGGCGTAATAGGATAAGCATCTGCCTGCAGCGCTGACATCCCATATGGGTGCCAGGTTCGAGTCTTGGATGCCCCACTTCAGATCCAGCTCCCTGGGAACGCGCCTAGGGATGCCCAAGTCCTTGGGCCCTGCACCTATGTGGGAGACCCTGAAGAAGCTCCTGGCTCCTGGCTTTGGATTGGCACAGCTTTAGCCATGTGGGGAGTAAACCAGTGGATGGAAGATCTCTCTCTCTGTCTCTCCCTTTCTCTTTGTAACTCTGTCTTTCATATAAATAAAAAATGATTCTGTTAAGACTTAAGCAAGTTAAACTAGACTAGCTGGCTGGGACAGTGCCCGGCACATGGGTGAGCCTTGGATGACTGGGACTTACTATTAATCCAGAAACTGCCTCTAACTGGCCTTTCTCTCCATTCCATGAACACTGTCCTATCCTCTTCCCTAATGCAAAGCTTTGAGGGCTCCCTACTGCCTGGATGTTCAAGACTGACACCTGGACCTAACCTAAGTGGGGGCAGGGACTGGTTTTAGGGGTGTCCTCGTCCCCAGGAGGGCCCCACGGGGACTTCAATGGCCTGTGTTTGCACAAGGGAGCTGCACACAGCAGAGAAGGTGGCCGCCGGGTGCCTAGCGTCGGAAGCAGCCTGGGACCGCTGATGTCCTGGCAGGGCTGGCCCTGGAGCAAGGGAGAGAGCAGGACGCCCGGGGAGAACCAGGAGGCTCAGAACATGGGCCGGGTTTTCAGGGCTTCGGGAAAGTCGCGCCTGTGGTGTTAGGGGTGAGCAGGCCACGCGGCTGTTTTCTTTCGTACGACCTAATCTGAGCTGGCGTCATCATGTAGCGGCTTAAGTCACCATCTTGGGTGCCGGCATCCCATATGGGTGCCGGTTCGAGTCCCAGCTGCTCCGCTTCTGATCCAGCTTCCTGCTAATGGGCCTGGGGAGGCAGTGGAAGATGGCCCAAGTGCTTGGGCCCCGGCACCCATGTGGTAAAGCAGGATGGAGTCCCTGGCTCCTGGCTTCAGCCTGGCCCAGCCCTGGCTGTTGCAGCCACTTGGGAAGTAAGCCAGTGGATGGAAGACCTCTCTTTCCTTCTCTGGCACTCTTCCTCTCAAATAAATAAATACATCTTTTATTTATTTTATTTATTTATTTTTTTGACAGGCAGAGTGGACAGTGAGAGAGAGAGACAGAGAGAGACAGAGAGAAAGGTCTTCCTTTGCCGTTGGTTCACCCTCCAATGGCTGCCGCGGCCGGCGCGCTGCGGCCGGCGCACCGCGCTGATCCGATGGCAGGAGCCAGGTACTTATCCTGGTCTTCCATGGGTGCAGGGCCCAAGCACTTGGGCCATCCTCCACTGCACTCCCGGGCCACAGCAGAGAGCTGGCCTGGAAGAGGGGCAACCGGGACAGAATCCGGCGCCCCGACCGGGACTAGAACCCGGGGTGCCAGCGCCGCAAGGCGGAGGATTAGCTTAGTGAGCCGTGGCGCCGGCCTAAATACATCTTTTAAATATGTATATTAACAAACAGTCCTGGGCTCTCGCTTGCAAGGTATCTCTGAGGAGGTGACAGCAACGACATGCAGCCCTTGGCCCCGCCCTGGGACGTGACAGGTGTACAGGTATGAGCGGAGGAGTGGGACCCAAGGCGCACAGCGAGCAGCAGAACACGGGCTGTGCGCTGCCCTGCGCGTCTGGGCGGAGGGAGTGCTAGCCCCACCCCGCCTCCCTACGCCCGCCTCTGGGACCCGGGTGCAGGGGGCTCCCGCCTCGGCCGCCCCCGCGGAGCCGCGACTCACCGCAGAAGGAGGAATTCCTCCAGTCGCCGAGGGTGACGTTGGCGCCCTGGCAGACGGCGGCGTACGACTGCAGGGCCGAGCAGAGGATGCGGTCGCTGCCCTCCGCCAGACACAGATCCCTGACGCAGCTGGACACGTACGGGCCTGGGTCCACCTCGGCGTGGCAGGGGCCGAAGGGCCCCCGGGGCTCGCGCAGCAGCCAGCAGCGCCTCCTGGCGGCCACGATCTGCCCCGGGTCCTCGCAGACGGCGCAGGCGGCCGCGCAGTCGCCGGCGCAGGACCCGCTGCGCTGCTCCGAGGGGTCGCGGGCCTCGGGGGCGCCGGCGAGGCTGCCGCAGAGCCCGCAGGTGTGCCCCTCGTAGAGCCGGGGCACGGTGAGCGTGAGGCTGTAGGTGGCATCCGTGCTGAGCCACAGGCCGAAGTCCGAGAGCAGCACGAAGGAGAGGCCGTTCCAGTGCACGTCCAGGCTGCCGCCGGCCAAGCTCGCGGGCAGCGCCGTCGTCTCGCCGTTCACCTGGGGGGAGGGCGGGCCGCGGACGCTTGGAGCGCAGCAGGTGCAGGGACAGGGGCGGGGAGCGCGCAGAGCCCTCGAGGCCATCTGGTCTGGCCCTGCGGCTGGGACTGGGAATTCAGAACCTCTCCAGCAGCGGTTTTAAGCTGATAATTTTGTGTGGCCCCAATGAGGGTGTAAATATCTAGGTGGCCCTTGGCAGAAACAGGGTGTCCCCCTGAGGGACAAGGACCTGGAAAGGAGTGAACACTTTCTCCTGCTCAATATCCATTTCTCCTTTATCTGGATTTTCTCCTTTAAACATTTTTTTTAAACCATGTATTTATTTGTTTGCAAGGAAGAGTTATAGAGAGAAGGAGAGGCAGAGAGAGAGAGAGGTCTTGCATGCGCTGGTTGATGCCCCAGATTGGATGCAACGGCTAGGGCTGGGCCAGGCCAAAGCCATGAGCCACGAACTTCATCTGGGTCTCCCACATGGGTAGCAGGGGCCCAAGCACTTGGGCCGTCTTCCGCTGTTTTCCCAGACCATCAGCAGGGAGCTGCATTGGAAGTGGAGCAGCTGGGACAGGTACCGGCACCCATAGGGGATGCTGACAGCTAGGGGGTGGCTTAACCTGATATACCACAATGCCGGCCCCTTTAAAAATTTGTATTTATTTGAAAGGCAGGGAGTAAGGGAGAGAGAGAGAGAAAGGAGAGAGAGAGAGAGAGAAGAGAGAGCCTCCCATCCACTGCTTCACTCCTCAAATGCTAACAGCCAAGGCTGGGCTAGGCCAAAGTTGGGAACAGGACTCGGGCCTGGGTCTCCCACATGGGTGGCAGGGGCCCAAGGACTTGAACCTGCTGCCTTCCAGGGTGCGCATTTGCAGGAAGTGGGAGCCAGGCGCTCCACTGACAGGGGATGCGGGCTTGCCAAGCGACGCGGTAACCACTCGGCCAAACGCCCACCAGGCAGATTTGCCTAAGAAATGGCCCCTCCAAAATCCATCCATGCGGCTCACAGGAAGTTAACCCCACCCTAACTTGTAGCACATGACCCAGGCCCAGCCAATCAGCTAGTCTGCAAAGGCGGGCTCAGAGATGGTCACATGACTCAAGCTGGGCCAATGAGGGGCAGCCCTGGGACTTTTCAGGAAGAGCTTATTCTCTTCCTCCAGTGGTAGGCAGCTATCTTTCTCCTCACTGCCTGGGCTCCATGCCGACAATGGAAGAAACAGTGTTCAGAGGTGGGGCCGGAGAGCAGACATGTTGTCTGAGTGCCTGGGAGTGACAATGCCTGAATCCAGGGATCCATAGATTTTTTTTTAGATGCACACCCATAAATTCCTTTTGTTCTTAAGCTGTTTTGAGGGGGGTTTTGCCGTGGTGTTAAACCAAAGGCACTGACAGAATTAGCAGGAAAGGATGTATAGTCGGAGACGAGAGGTTACACTGTGGAAATATTGGAAGGATCTGGGTGGGTAAGGGGCTGGGGTCCCACACATCAGCCCAAACCAGGTGCTCACCTGCGCCATGCCAGGGCTGGCCCTCTGCAGGTGCACCTGGGTCCCGTTGACCTGGATGGACACCTCTGAGATGAGTGTCAGGGGGCTGTGCGACCTGTTCTCCTTTCCCAGTTCCACTCTGAAGAAGGGCAGGGAGCCGGGGGCGCCACAGGACTCGGCAAAGACAGAAGCACAGGTGCTGGGCAGCTCCACGGCCCTCCCGTCGAAGGTGATGATGCCCGAGTGCCCGGCTGCGTGGCAGGTGCCAGGGGACAGCGGGTGGCACCCGAAGATGCCCCTGCGGTTCCCACATCTCTGCCCAGGCCCGCAGGAGGCAGGGGAGCAGTGCACGGCGTGGCTGGAAGCCTCGCAGCGGCAGAAGCGCTCACAGCGCTCCCCAGCCCAGAAGGCCTCCCCGGCCGGGTGGTACCGGCCGCCCGCGGAGCAGCCGCACTGGCTGGGAGACACGCAGTCGGTGCCGCTGAGCACGAAGCCGGCGTCGCACTGGCAGCCCTCCTGGCACGGCGTGGGGCAGCTGTCGGGCAGGGCGGGCTCCGCACAGGAGCTGGGGCAGGAGGAGCCGCAGAGCTCGTAGTGGCTGTGGGGCGGGCAGGCCGGCTCTGGAGGGACACAAGGACACGGCTTCACTGCCCCAACATCAAATTCTGCTCCCTGCGGCCTCCCCAAAGCCCAGCACGTGGCGAGGATTTGCTGAAGCCCTCGCCAGTAGCATTGGCTTGGCCACTTTAACTGAGAATCTACTACGTGCCAGGGACATTCTGGGGGCCGGGAACACAGCAGTGACCATGGTCACCAGGAACCCCCGACCTGCTAGAGCAGAGGTGGACAAGCTATGCCTGCTGGACATCTGTCAGCAGACCTGCCGGGTCCAGCCTGCAATCTAAGAACGGTCTGCCCATGCTTAAATGGCCAGGGGGAGAGCAAGACAGTGAGGTATGAAAATTATGTAAAACACAGCGTCCACACAGAGCCTTGTAACGTGGCCTGCCTCAGTGGTCCGTGGGTCATCCGTAGTGGCTTTGGGGTCCTAAGAGGAGCGTGAGGAGGCTGCAAACGCAGGTGGACTGGAAAGCCCGAACCTGCACAGTGCAGACACGCTGACCCTGCTCCAGGAGGGGCAGGGAAGGTGAACCCTTGTTACACAAAGACCTGAGGGGCTGGGTCAGGTGACAAAGCTGGACAGAACGGGGGCGGGGAGCTGCTCTACATACAGTGACCAGCAGGCTTCCTGGAAGAGGTGACGTTTGAGCAGAGCCCTGAATGACAGAGAGAGCCAGGCATGCGACATCTGGGGAAGAGTGTTCCAGGCGGGGAAGGCAGCCCCCGAGGTGGGAGAGTCTGGGGTGTTCCAGAAGAAGCAGAGAGGCCAGCATGGTGGGTGAGCCAGGGAGAGGGGGAGGCTGAGGGTCAGCCAGAGGGAGGGGCAGCAGAGCGGCGTCTCTCAGGAGGAGCCCTGAAGGTCAAGTCTCGTGTCCAGGGCAATGGGGACCCATGGATGGTTTTAGCCAGGAGATGGAGGAGGTCTGAGTGACGTTTTTAGAGACCTGATCCTGGTGACCAAGACGCATCACAGACCCTACACCTGTCTTTGAGGGTTTCACAGATGAGGAGGGACGTCGTGCAGGGGGGGTTGCTGAGGAGGTGAGCAGTCCGTGTGCATGCATGTGTACATGTGTGTGCGCACGGGTGCATGCATTCATGTCCGTGTGTGCGGTGTGCACGAGTGCATGTGTGTGTGCGTTTCGGGGCAACTCCCAGTGTAAGAAGTGAGAGGACCCGGGGCCTGGGCTGCAGCCTTCCCCGCGCGTGTTCCTGCGTCCCCGCTGCCTGCGTTGCCCCTCCTAGGGTGGGGCGGGGAATGCCCTGGGCACGGGCTGTGTAAGGCCTGCAGCATCATCTGGCCTGGTATTACCAAGGCGGCCGCAGGCGGGACTCGACATTCGGTACGTCTGTAACAGGCCAGTTTTTAAGTTGATTGTTTTATATGGCCTACAGATGCTGTTATAAATACCCAAATGGCCCTTCGCAGGAAAAAAGAAAAGGTTCCCGACCATGGTCAGGGCACCAGAGCCCCCCATCCCCTCCTGCAGTCTCTACCCTCGCCCCTGCCTTCGCACGTGGCACAGCCCTGCCGGTTACTCCCCGCTCATTCACACTGTGGCGCCAGGAACTGCTCACCTGTCCGATTCCCACAGCAGCCCTGGAAAGGGAGGTGCCACTATCATCCTTCGCGGCTGGGGGTTAAAGGGGAAACTGAGGCACAGAGCAGTCCAGCGGGTCCCTGAGTGCCCAGAGCTGGAAAGGGATGGCGCTGACCCGGGGCCTGCACCCTTGGCTTAGATGTGGCACAGGTGGGGCGTGCTCTGCTTTTACAAATGACATAGAATGGGACCCGGTGGGACAGGAAAGATTTGCGTCCACTTTCTGCTTTGGGGGCATTGTGTGCACACAGTCCGCGGTGGTCAGTTGAATAATCCCAGCCTACCGCCGTCACAGGGCAAAGGGACGATGTAGATGAGGTGAAGCTCCCAGACTCCGGGGTGGGAGAGAGGAGCCCGGGGGATGCCTCAGTGGGGGTCACCTGGGCTCTGCGAAGTGGGAAGGGAGGCAGAGGCATGAAGGACTGAAGTGCGGGGGACTTGGCCCCTCTGTCAGTGGCTTTGATGGTGGCGGGAGGGGCCTGGAGCCAAGGCTGGTGGGCGGCCTCTAGAGACAGGGACAGCCCCGAGGGGATGTGCAGCAAGTGCAGAGGGACCTCAGTGCTACACACACAGACCTGGGGGCTCTCTCGACCCACAGCCTCTTTCCTGCTGGGCTGAGCCACTTATGTTTGGGGCTGACCCTGCCTGGCCTTGGAGGCAGCAGGTGCAAAGCATCCCAGAGCTGGAGGCAATGAAGGGCTGGTGACAGACGCAGGGTCTGTGGGACGGGAGTCTCTGCTTCAGCCTCCAGAGGGGGTCTGGTCCTGTCCAGGCCTTGACCTTAGCCTGAGGGAACCTTGTGGGAATTCCAGCCCGCAGAACTGGGCTGCTTAAACTGCCGCGTCTCTGGCAATTCTTACAGCCAGCGGCAATAAAAATGCACACAATTGGATCCCCTGCACCGCTGCTCTCCATCACAACGGCTCTTGACAAAGACCGCGGGGCAGCAGGAAGTGGTCATTTGTCCTTTGGGTACCAGCCAGTACCCACTGCCCACTGCTAACCTCATCTCAACTTCCGCCCGCAGTCTCCCCAGGGGCAGAGCCTGGGTTCCTATTGGGGGATCCTATGCTCCTGGTCATTGGCTCCTCCTGGAGCCAATCAGAGCCGCGGAGACACTAGCACCCAAGACCCATGGGACTCTCTTCCTGCTGGGCTGAAATCTGAGCGCCTCCCAAGTCTGCAGTCACCATTTGCAGAGTGAGCCTGTCTGCACGTGGAGCCGACGGCCCAAGAAGCATCCCAGGGAGACGGAGGCGGTGAACCCAGCACTAATGACGTAGCCACTCTGAGAGCATGCATCACACAACCCAGTAAAACGAGCCGATCGGGCCGGCGCGATGGGAACCCGCTCAGGTGCCACTCACCGCAGTCCACCAGGTGTCTCCAGGGCTGCACCGGGAGGCCGTGCCTCTGGCACTGCTGGGCGTAGCTCCCCAGCACCTCGCACAGCACCTGCCGCGAGCCCCCGGTGGCGCAGAGGTCGTGGACACAGTTCTCCACGTGGACCCGGGCCTCGGCCGGCTCATCACAGGCCTGGAAGGGCCCGTCCCGGGCGCCCAGCAGCCCGCAGAAGGCCAGCGACTGATATCGGCCTTCCCTGTCGTGCGGGCACAGAGGGGCGGGGCCTGTGATGGAGCAGCCGGCCGGGGAGGCCGGGTCCATCCAACTGAGTGCAAAGGCCTCTGGGTCGTGCAGGAGGGAGCCGTTAGGGGGCGCGGAAGTCATCCAGGGGGTCCCCAGTTGAAGTCCCCGCCCAGGCCGCAGAGGGCGCCCGCGTAGGTCTCAGGGCACCATGATGGACACGTGGCGGCGCCAGTCATAGGAGACGAGGAGGCCGGCGCTGGTCTGCAGCACCGCCCCTGTGCCGCTGAAGTAGACGTGCACGAGGCCCCCGGCCAGGTGCAGGGGCAGGTGAGCCAGGGTCCCGTTCACCTGCAAAACACAGGTGGGGCCAGGGCTCCATCGGACTCCCCCTAAGCGGGCCAGTGACTCCCTGAGCGCCTTCCCAGGGTTGGACTCTGTCTCCCCAGGACTTTGAGTCTGAGCTGCGCTGGATGGGGGAGGGGTGGTTCCAGCCCCAGCCCCGCCCCAGCTTACCTGCACCCTCCCGGGCGTCAGGGCCTCCATCACCACCTTCACCCCGTGGACATCCACCTCGATCTGCCGCGCCCCGGTCACGCTGGCCGCGGGACTCAGGTACTCATTGTCCACCCACACCACGAAGGCCGGCGCCCCCGGAAGAGCGCGGCAGGTGCGGCTCAGCACGTAGCGGCACGCCCCCTGCGCCGTGAAGGCGGCGCCGTCAAAGGTGCGGTAATGGGGGTCCCCCGACACCCAGCTGCTGCCTCTGCGGGCCTCACAGTGCCAGGCCCCGGCACGCAGGAGGCACGCGGTCCCCGCTGCGCAAGCCTGGGGCCTGCAGTGAGGCGGCCGCCCAGCTTCCCTGCACTGGCACAGCTCGCGGCAGTCGGGGCTCAGCTCCTGGGCTCCCAGGGGCAGCACGCGGCCCTGCCAAGGGCAGCCGCAGGCCGCAGGGTGCACACAAGTCCCACCGCTGCGCAGGTGGCCGGCGTCGCACACACAGCCCTCACGGCAGGGGCCGCCACAGGCCAGGGCCTCGTCCTCGTGGGGGCAGCGGGCTCCGCAGGTGTCGGCACACGTCTCCCAGTGGCTGTTTTCAGGACAGGATGGTTCTGGAGAAAGAAGAGGGGGAACCCCCCACAACCACCTCACGGGTGGGACCTGCCAACCCCGGAGCTATGTCTTCATCAGAAACCCACCCCCTCCCAGGGCCCCAGGGAGTAGGTAAGATGGCCCTTCAAGTTCATGTGCGGTTCACAACCTGTGCAACTGGATACTCCCACCCTCTTCTTTGCCACCTCCCTCCAGCAGCTCACCACAGAAGCCAGGACCACGCCAGGTGCCCACGGGGATGTCCATAGCTTGACAGGTCCGCACGAAGGCGGCCAGGGCCCGGCAGAGGACAGGCAGGCTCCCGTGGGCTGCACACAGCTCCTCGACGCAGGCATCCACGAACGGGCCCACTGGGACGGTCCAGGCACAGGCTGCAAAGGGGCCCGTCAGAGCCGAGAGTCGCCCACAGGCCTCGGGGCCGGCATACCTGGCCCTCAGGTGGACCGGGCAGCTGGGCCACGGCGAGCCACAGGGCCCCGCCTCCTGCCAGCTGGCTTGGAAGGAGGCGGGCTCCAGCTGTGGTGTTCCCACAGGAGTCAGGGCCTCCGGGCCACACAGGCCCCTGGTGACGGAGACCTCCGCCTCTGGCACGGTGAGCTCTAGGCGTCCGTCCTGGATCCACAGTTCGAGGCCTGTGTCCATGGCCAGGCGGGTGGCTGAGTCCCACGAGTGGACGGCGAGGCCGGCCTCGGGGACGGACAGGGGCAGAGGCCGCAGGTGCCCGTTCACCTGCGGGACCAGGACGCAGCCCTGGGGTCAGGTGCCCTCGGCACTGGTCAGCTGGGCACGGGGAGGCTGTCGGTGGCTGGCGTTGGGCAGAAAGGGGGTGAGGCCCTGGGTCTGGGGAACAGGAGAGGGGGCAGCCCTTGGGGGGTTTCACAGCCGCAGGTCTAAAGGAGAGGCCGGAAGCATGAGTGGAGATGAGGAAGAGGAGGCTGGGCTGGGCCTGGGTTCAGAGGGGGCTGGGAGGAGGCACAGGTGGAGCGAGCCAGGGAGGGAAGCCAGGGGGCAGCCAGAGGGCGGAGCGAGGGGCGTGGCTTGCCAGGGACATAGGAGGTATGAGCTCTTGGGCCGAGGGTGAGTCCGGGAGGGGTTTGGTCTGAGGGGAGGGGGGGTGCGAGTGGTCCTCAGGGAGGAGGCAGGTCAAGGCCCCCCAAGTTCATGGCCATGGAAGCCGCCAGCCCATGTGTGTTCAGCTGCCTGGGCACAGGGATGAGGGCAGGTGCAGGGGTGCTGGAGGCAGGGGCACAGGAGGAGGAGAGTGGGCTGAGGAAGGGGTGCAGAGGGAGCCTGGCGTTGTGGAAGGTGAGGGCGGGGGCACGCAGGCGGGTCAGCGGGGTCAGTAGGCAGGGTGGCCTGAGAGCCCACCCACTGCCTGTTTCAACAGGGTGGGAGACAGAAACCCAGCTGTGCAACAAAGGGGGGTGCGGCGCCCATGGACAAGGCAAGATCGCCCTAAGGGTACTCCCTGGGCTCCACCTGCCTGGGACTCCCATCTGTGTCACACTGCCTGTTCTGAGCACCTCAACCTGACACCATCTGTGTGTCTGTCTGTCTGCCTGCCTGCCTGTCTACCCCACATCTTCGTCTCCATCTCTGCCTGCTGTTCTGTCTGTCAGTTTCTCTGTCTGTGGGTCCACCACCATTGATCAAATCTCTCTGCCCGCCCGCTTGTCTGAGTGACTGGCCCCGGCGCCATCCGCTGGTCCCACTCACCAGCACGTGTCCCGGGGGGCCGTCTGACCGCACCACCAAGTCCTGGCCGTGGACCAGCAGCTGCACCAGGACCGCTGGCTCTGGGGCTTCTCCTGCCAGCTCCACGTCCACACGGACACCGGGCAGCCGGGCCAGGACGAAGCGGCAAGGCCGGAGCCGCAGCTGCCTCCCCGAGAGAGTATGCAGATGGCCCTGGGCGCCCAGGCGGCAGGTGGGGCCCCGAGGGGCGTGGCAGCGTGCGAAAGGGTGTGCAGGTGCGCACTGCTGGCCCCCCTGGCAGCCCTCTGGCCAGCAGCGCACCCGGCCCTCCTGCCCACAGTGGCACCGGTGGCTGCAGGCGCTGCTGTCCCAGAAAGTGGCCCCGAGCGGCAGGAACTGACCTGCAGAGGGAGGGGGCCAGACGGGGGAACCTGAGCGGGAGCCCAAGGAGGAGGGTACCGGGGGTCTGGGTACCCTTGGTCCTGGATGGGGAGAGGCTGGGGTCTGGGGGCTTAGACCTGTCCCCACCGCCTCACCACTGTAGGCACAGCCGTTGGGGACAGCGAAGGCGTCCGTGCGGAAGGCCCAGCGCCCCGGGACGCCCACGTTGCTGGTGCCTGCCACGTGCAGGATGTCGGCGGTCCTGGAGCCAGGCACGGAGAAGTAGTGCCCCTGCCGGCCGCTGTTGAAGCCCGCCTGGGTGCGAGCCAGGAGGGCGGAGTTAGCGGGGCCACCTCCCCACCCCCGGCCACGGGAGGACTCCGGGCAGCCTCTGTGTGCTCCCCACACACCTGGGCAGCAATGCCCCCCAGGCCGCTGTGGGGGCTCCCGCCGCTGGCCACGCCTGTGGTCCACTGGATGTCATTGTACAGAAACAGCGCCCAGGAGGTGCCACTGCCCATGACTAGCACCAGCTGGAAGGTGTTCACCTGCGGAGGCCGGGCGCAGGGAGCTGGGACTCCATCTCCATCCCCTCCCCCCCTCCTCTTCCCTCTGTCTCTCTCTTTCCCCAGCTCCCTCCTCACCTGGGAGCCAAGAGATCCGTAGAAGGGGATTTGGTCCCAGGTGGCCACAAGCAGCGCACGGGGGCTGTGAGGGCCGTGGGGGAAGGCGGCGGCCAGGTCCCCAGCAGCGCGCCGCAGCAGCTCCGGCCGGCGGCTCTGGCGGTACCACACGTGGCCCCCGCTGGACGTGGACCCATCAGCCCAAAAGGGAGCCACGAAGGCCTGGCCTGTCTCCAGGGGAAAGGCCTCAGGGGTGAACAGGGCCACCGGCTCCCCAAAGGACACCAGCCCGTTGGTGCAGACCTGGTAGGGGTGAGGGCGGCAGAGGCCAGTGGCATGGTGTCACCCGTCAGGCAGCACGGAGGGCCCGGGCCGCGCTGGGAGGGGGGAGGAGGACTGAGGCTCAGGGGCGGGGGGGTGTGTGGCGGGGAGGCGAGAGAGCTGGGGAGTCCAGGGCAGGGGGCGGAGTCTCACATAGGCCGTCCTGTGCGGGACCCCAAAGAGGGTGAAGGGCTCCAGCAGTGGCAGCTCCTCAGAGAAGCCGTCATCCTTGGCGGGGAGCACCTGGTCTCCGTGCTCCCGCCCGTAGGGATACAGCAGCGAGGCTGGGGGCACAGAGACCTCTGAGGCCCCTGCCAGCCTCCTCGACCCCCTCCGGCCCCTCCCAGCCCCATCCTCTCCCCCCCACCCCAGAGGTTAGAGAGCATGTGCAGCCTCACCTCTGGTCTCCTCGCTCCAAGTCACTCTGTTCTGCAGAGTTGAGGGGACAGCCCCAGGGACCGGCTGGGACCCACCGCCCGCAGCCCACCCCAGTGCCGAGCCCCAGGCCCACGCAGCCACCAGCAGCAGCCAGAGCAGCTCCATGGTGGCCCCAGCCCTGAGTGGTCAGGCTGGCTTATACCAGGGCTGCAGCTGGGGGCCAGAGGTGGGGTGGGGGCTGTGTTGTCACTCAGCCCCATCGGCTCATTGTCCATGGATCCAGGGGGCCTGGGAGACTCCCAGCATCCTGGTTCCCATCCGGTCTGGCTGAGGCTGGGCCAGGCTTGGAGGCACGGGGTGGGGCTGGGAGGGGACAGGTGGCACCCAGAGCTTGCCCAGTGGCCCCGGGGTGGTTTACAGGTGCTTAGGGTGAGCCAGGGCTGGAGACATAGAGGCCCTGGTGGGTGAACTGGTTGCTGCTGGCGGGGCGCTGGCCACCAGGTGTGTCTCCGGCTGGAAGCCCTGCCAGTTCTCGCTTCGTCAGGTTAAAGATTAATTCTCAGCCTCCTGGGAGTGGAGGGGAGAGGCTGAGACGTTCTCCAGGGGAGATGAATGGGAGGGAGGCCAGGCAGGGTTCAGAGCCTGTGCAGGGGCGCAGGAACTCTTAGCTGGGAGAAGCACTGGGGTACACAGAGACAGTGACAGGCAATGGGGTGCAGAGACCAGCAGGTCCCCATACAGGGGGCTCAAAGTTAGGCAGCGGGGCCTCCCTCTTCCAAGGAGTGTCCCAAACCCCAAACCCAAACCATGTGGTGACATGGGACAGTGCTGGGCACCCAGGCGGGGCTCCCTCCCGTGCCACACTGAGCAGAGCCCCTCACTTCCCTACTGCCCCCAGAATCTCTGGGTTAAGGCCCCCTGTCTTTATCCCCTATGCACCCCCACTGGCAAAGGGCACTCTCCCCTCACTGCTGCCCAGGAGGGCAGTGTTCCGGCCGCCCCCAGCAGACAGGGGCTGGGGGCCGGGGGCTCAGCACGCTCCCCCACGATGTTCCAGGCCCTGATGTGGCCCCGTGGATGAAAACGCAGCCCCTCTGCAGGAGGTCAGACTCCACAGCCGCTTCCTCCAGGTGCGTATACACGGGCCCCAGGAGCGCGAGTCCCAGGAGACCACGGAGCGGGAGGGGCATAAAGACACGTTTTTATTTGGGGAGTCTTTACTATTTCCATCCTGATGTGTGTTGAAGAATATGCATCCATCACTACCACCCGGAACCCACGGTCTCCATCAGCAGTGCTGTCACTGTGTAAGCCAAGCTGAGAACAGAAGCCAAAAGGAAGGAGAGAGGAAAGAAATCATCGCGGGGCCGGGGCTGGGGGTTCGAGGTGCTTGGGAGCTTGGGGTGGGTGGTGACACATTCGGATTTGAAGTCCCGGGAACCATGCACCCAGGGAGCCGGCATCTTCTGCAGAGCACAAGGCTCTCCGCTACACCACCACCGCCTTAGTTTCTCAAAGTGTAGGGGCAGCAGCGCCCCCTGGTGGCCATCAGGACCAGCGCACAGATGCACAGATGTCCAGTGGAGGATGGAGGGTGGGTAGGATAGGGGTGGGCAGTGTTCCCAGAAGGTGCGACCCAAACTCAGCCCAAGGATGGGTACTATGGTTGAATATGACTCGGCCCCTGAGTTCAGGGAGGACTTTGAACCCCAAGTCATAAGTTTACAGTACTGGTAGTGGCTGGATCGGATTAGGTTCTTAGGGTGGAGTCCGGTGACTGAATCCTGGTGGCTGTTATAAGAGACCAGCCGACGTGGATTGACGGAGGCAGGGGTACCACGTCTCTTCCCGGAAGCTCAGGACTGTGGCAGGGACACCACCACCAGGGGCCATACCTGCCCCATCTTGGACCATGAGCCTCCAGAGCTGGGCGTCCAGACCAACCTTTCTCCTTGGGCATTACATCACAGGAATGGAAACTGGCCCACGCTGGAGGCCGTGGGCTGCGATCCTAGGCCCCGCCCCCGGCCTCCGTCCCGCAGGGCCCTGCTGTCTGCGCTCACCCAAGGTGGCTGGCTTTTCTTTGCCCACTGGGCATCTGTGCTCACTTTTTCTGGAAGCAGCGCCCCGTTTCCTTTGGGGGAACCCCCCTCTACCTGTGCATCAGGTGCACAGTTATTTGATGAGAGATGACCCAAATCTGTCCATCAAGAGCTTGGGTCATTCCAGGCCCTGAGGCTATTGGGAAAGAGGCGTTGGTTTCCCCTGTGCCGGCTGAGCCAATCTGTGGCATAGAAGCCTGGAGTCTGTGGGGACCTGGGCGCAGCTCTGCTTTCCAAAATGCACCCGAGAGAGAGGAGAGCGGACTCGGGAGAGCAGCTGGATCCAGCAGTTCCTGAAGCCAGTGTGCTCCAGGAAAAGTGAAAAATGTCTTCATCGCTGCTGATATTTGCAAACTCAGCGCCACGTTAATCAAAACCATTTTTATTATTTAAAGAGCATCCTGTCACCAGGGGGTACCTGGACAGGTGTCCCCAGTCGGCAGAACAATATTTACACGGGGGTCGGAAGGCTGAGGCCGGGGGGTCCCGGGGCTGAGTGGGCCCGCCACTGTGGAAGAGAGGACCCTGAAGGGGGCGGGGATCCTGGGGCTGCGGCCTGGGCCCAGCCGGGGCCCCCCCACAGCGGGCAGGGACACCTCCATCAACTCGGGCCCCGGACGCGTGCGCAGCGAGGAGATGCCGCAGGTCAGAGCTGGGTCACCATGCCGCTGGCTTCGGAGTGAGTCTGGGGAAAGACGACTGGGGGCTTCCAAGGGCTGGCAGGCCCCTCCCCCACCCCGCACAAAGTCCCACAGCCCAGAGGCCCTTGGAAATCCATGTGTCCCCATGACAGCCCTGACCGCCCCCAGGCTCTGGCTCCCGTGCAGGCCCTGCTCACCCTCATGGCCTGGAAGATCCACTCCCGGAAGTCACTGACTTTGGTGTAGACGCCGGGCTTCTGGGCCAGGGCACAGCCGGTGCCCCAGCTCACGATGCCACACAGCCGCCAGCGTGGCGTCCGAGAGATGCTGTCCTCACACACGAAGGGGCCGCCGCTGTCACCCTGGCAAGGCACGAGGTGGCCTGGCTCGGGGCCGGGGCGACCGGCAAGGGGGCGGCCCCCTCCCCGTCTCCGCACACCTGTGGGCTGGGCAGGGGCCAGGAGCTGCCCCCGCCCCGTGCCTCACCTGGCAGGCGTCAATGCCCCCCTCGGGGTAGCCAGCACAGAACATCTTGGGCTTGATCTGGTTCCCGTAGAAGTCGGGGCCATTGCACACCTCACTGCTGATGATGGGGACTCGGGCCTCCTGGAGCACCCCAGCCTGCTGGCCTGGGGGTGCGCGGGCAAGGTTGGCGGAGCTGGGGAGCACGTGTGCCCTCCCCACCCGCCCCTCGCCCCCAGCACCCCACGGTCCCTTCCAGGTGGCCCTCCCACACAGTACCCCCGTGCCTCACCGTAGTACTGCGTGTTGCCCCAGCCAGTCACCGTGCACATCTTGCCATCCACCAGGGCCTGGCCCGCGGCGGGCAGGCACACGGGCTGGATGTACTCTGTGGGAGAGAGACCACGCGGCTCGGCCCCGGCCAGCTGCCCCCAGCTCCCCTCTGTGGCAGCCACTGTCCCAGGTGCCTTCCCGTGGGCTCGCCCATCAGTCCTGGGAGCAGGGCCGAGTCACCTATCGTGGACTCTGCCATGGGAAGTCCACGGCACAGCCAGAACCTGAACCCAGGGCCACCCTCACCTTAGAGGGTGCTCTCGCGAGAAGTGTGGAAAGACACCCCCATCTCGACACTTTGTGTCCACCCATTAGAAAGTCATATACATAGAGGCTGGCATTGTGGCTGCAGAAGGTTAAACCGGTTCAAGTCCTGACTGCTCCACTTCCGATCCAGCTCTCTGCTATGGCCTGGGAAAGCAGTGGAGGATGGTCCAAGTCCCTGGGCCCCTGCACCCACGTGGGAGACCCAGATGAAGCTCCTGGCTTCTGCCTGACCCAGCCCCAGCCCCAGCCATTGCGACCATATGTGGACCAACAAATGGAAGATCTGTCTCTCTCAGTCTCTCTCCCTCTCTGCCACTCTACCTATGAAATAAATAAATCGTTTTTTAGAAAAAGGAACTAACCCTGAAAATAAATTTGATGCACAGCACAGGCTGTTACTGAGTGTGAGGAGCGCACGGATTCCAGCACCCGGAGGCCTGGGCTCCCTGGCTGGGCGGCAGCCTGGGGCAGTATTTACCTTCTCTGCGCTGGGGCCTTTCCCCAGTGAGGAAAACAGGGCGTCGGAGAGCCCGCCACGGGCTGCGTGAGGGGTTCACACTGGGAAGCGGACGCTCCCGGCATGCGGGCCCCTGGCCCTGGGGAGCATGGGGGGGGAGAGTGGCACCATCACCATGACATCACTGCTTGTGGGCGGGTGTGGGGAGCAACCCGGACTAGACTAAGTTACTGGAATTAGGACTTATTCTATGCATCTGCTCTCCCACAATATGGCGCTGAGAAGGGAGAAACAGCTTCTACACAGCTGCCTCCAGTTCAACCAATAAACTGTAGGACTTGCTCCTGATTGGAGGAGAGCAGCGTACTCAGCGTGTGGGCAGCCGAGTTAGGATTGGCGGAGGAGGACTATAAAGGAGGAGAGAGACGGCATGCACCAGGAACATCTAAGGGGAACATCTATCTGAAGGAACACCTGTGCAGCCCCCTAGAGAGCCGGCCGGCGGTGTGCCGCTCCCCTGCGGAAGTGGGGAAAGTGGCAGGGGGAACCGCCCTTCCACGGAGGTGGAAGGGACGGCAGCCAACCCGGGAAGAACCAGCAGCAAACCCGGGGAGGGCCGAGCAGACAGAAGAACAGCGCAGGGTCCTGTGTCGTTCCTCCACGAAGACGGGGAGCGACAGGCGGGGCTTCCACAAGCTCACAGACAAAGTGGGATTCGAAGAGAAGTTTATCGTGTTGCAAAGCAACTCGGAAATCCAGGCACCATGTGGCCCTGGCACACATTTCCACGGGCTTTGGAAGACCCCTTCGTATACATATATGTTTATATACATATTATATATATATATATATACACATATATATTTCCTGCTGCAGAAACGCCCTTTTTAATTCCATTCTTCCGTGAAGTTTTGGAGGTAGCTTGTATTGTTTAGCTTCCTCATCACCACTATTACTGCTTCACTGGAACCATCATAACCATTGCTTTTTTGTGTTTTAAAGATGTGTCTATTTATTCAAAAGGCAGAGTGACAGAAAGAGAGGGGGAGAGAAAGAGAGAGAGAGAGAGAGAGAGAATGTGCTTCCATCACTGGTTCACTCCCCAAATGGTTGCACCTGCCATGTCTGGGCCAGGCTGGAGCCAGAAGCCTGGAGCTCCATCCGAGTCTCCCAAGTGGGTATCAGGGATGCGAGTACACGGGCCATCCTCCGCTGCTTTAGCACATTAGCAGGGGGCTGGGTCGGAAGAGGAGCAGCCGGGACCTGAACAGGCGTTCTGCTATGGGATGCCAGCACTGCAGACAGCAGCCCAACTCCTGCACCACAGCGCCGGCCCCATAAGCATCGCTTTTATCAAGGTGATCAGACCCAGCCCTTCCCTGAATCCAGCAGGGGCGTGAGTGAGTAGGGGAGGGGTTGAGACACACTGGCACTCACGGAAGCCCTGCTCACTGGCACCCAGGAAGCCCTCGTGGGGACGGCAGGGCACCGTGCCTCACCTCTGCTCCATTCCCACAGGCTTTGTAAGTTTCATTCCCACAGCTATTTTTTTTTTTAGGGACAGGTGCATGGTGCCATTATTCCCACACCACCCAGCCCACCGCTGGAAGAATAGCTCGGGGCTTCTCGTGCGTTCACAGGTGCGAACTCATTACCCCGAGAGAGACCTCGACTCCTTCACCTGTCACCTCCCCATCTCCTCCGTGCCACCCCCAGCCCCACCTCCTGTCCTGGCAACCGGCGATCTCCGTGCTGCCCCTGGGGATTCGCCTGCCATGGTGAGCGGTGGCCGGCACGTGGCTCGGCTGTGCTGTGGCAGGCAGCAGCCTCTCATCCCTCTGTGTAGCCAGACCTCACTGCCCGGCACAGAGCTGGCACATCCGTTGGCCAGCCGTGCCCGTTTGGCTCGTGTCCAGCTGGTGCTGTTACCACTCCCGAGCCGGTGCTGCCGTGTGGCCGTGTGGGCCTTTCTCGCTCCTGTGTCTCCCCTAGGGGCACAGCCCTTGGGCCCAGCCGTGTGCAGTCCCCAAGCCGAGGCTTAACCCCCAACACTGACCTGTGAGGGGCAGGGGGCTGGAGAGGTGGACCAGTGCGATGTCATTGCTGTTCTCCTCGCTGTTGGGGTCTCGGAAGGGAAGGTAGCCCCCGTGGTAGACCACGGCCTGCACCCCCAGCTGCAGGCCGTGGGGCGAGGCCTGGGCCACAGCTCCTGCAAACACTCGCCATCGGGACAGGACCCGGTTCCTCCTACAGGGGACAGAGGCAGGGCTGGCAGCCGGCCCGGGCGCAGCCTCCCTGGCCTCCGGGCGTCCCCACCTCACCCGCGCGGGCGCCGTGGGGGGCACTCACTCCGGGAAGCAGTGGGCGGCTGTCAGCACCCAGTCCCCGGAGAGCAGGGACCCCCCGCAGAGGTGCGCCCCGTCGTAGCGCAAGCTGACTTGCCAGGGCCACCTGCCCAGGCTGGTGTCCTGACCTCCCACGATGCGGTCCACGGGCAGCTTCCTGCGGCCACAGTCTAGGGGAGGTGGAGGGGTCAGAACCAGCCCGGGGGGAGGGGAGGTTCCGTCGGGTAGAAGTCTCCGTGGGGGCAGGTCTCAGGGTCTCACCTTGGCAGACGGTGGTCAAGAACCTGCCCCGGGGACAGTCACTGAGAGAGACACGGGGACGCGAGAAGCCAGTCAGCATGGAGGGGCTGCACGGGGCTGGGGTCCCCGGGCCACCCGCCACCGCCCTGCTCACCACACAGAAAGGACGTCCAGCAGCCTCCAGGCGTGCGGCAGCCGCCCCTCGTCCACGCAGAAGAAACCCGACGTGCCGTTGGCGCCCGCTGTCCGCACGTCCAGCTCCGAGTGGGCCAGCGCCCTGGGCAGGGCAGAGGTCAGGCCTGCTCCCCACCCAGCTCCCACCCCGACCTGAGGTGCCCACCCCCGTCCCGGTACCTGAGGAAGCCCATCTCCTCACAGCTGAGCCCGGCCACCCTAGCGTTGGAGCGCGAGGAACAGAGCAGGCGCCACGTCCCTTCCGTCTTGTCCAGCACGGCGAGCCGGCCGTCCACTGGGCTGACCTGCACTGC